CTAATCTAAGAGGAACAGGATAATTCTGTTACCTTAGATAAAGGGATTAGGAGGCAGCCCCTCTCTTCCTGATTCTTATGCATATACTCACTTTATAAAATTTTTGGATCCATAAATCCCTATGGGCTCAGTTTAAATGTGTTGAGGGATTATGAAAGCCAATGGATTATGAGATCTTTAGAGATATTTTTACACAACAGAACTCATAGTTATTCTATCACAGGACACCCCTCCCTCCGGTTCCTCCCCCCTCCCCCCCCTCACACTTCTATATGTATTTAGGGCTTATTTTTAAATTGTTTCTCTTCTCTTTTCATCCACCTGCTGCCAGGCATTTCCACATTTTATTCATTAAATTAGAAGAAATGTTGCAGACATTCTGAGACTATAAGATTTCTTTCCTGCCCCAATTTCTTTTTGGCAAGACTGCTGTATATGTTAGTATGGAAGAATGTGCTCTGTATACCTTTAAGGAGTGCCTGGAGTTGAACAGAGTTCAAATGACACAGCTATACATATTGTCATCCTCCTAGCAGCTGCTTTAGACACAAGGATAAGGACAGTGACTTCATTAATTAATCTATCAGAACCTCTGCTTACCTTCCTATAATGTGTATACACAAAATCTGTGGCATAGGTACATGGCAACATCTGATCATGCTACTTTCTTTCATTAAAAAGTCTTTAATTTCTCTCCAGTGCCTTCAGGATAAAGTCTGTTATCAGTGAATTCTAAAAGTGGTGGGCTGATTTTATCATGATCCCTTGCATGAGTTCAAAAAATGGATTCCTAGGGGCACCTGGGTGGCTCAATCAGTTAAGCGTCTGATTTTGGCTCAGGTGATGATCTCACAGTTTGTGAGCTTGAGCCCTGCATTGGACTCTGTGCTGACAGCTCGGAGCCTGGAGCCTGCTTTGAATTCTGTGTCTCTCCCTCTCTCTCTGCCCCTCTCCCACTCACACTGTCTCTCTCAAAAGTAAATAAATAAACATAAAAACAAAATCTCTATAAAAAATGGATTCTTAGACTCCAGACTGATGATTCTGGCTTGAAAGACAAGTGAAGTCTGGGAGTCCATGTTCTGAAAAGCACTCCCCCAGACACTGCTAGCCTGGGAGTTTCTGATGCATAGTTATGTTTAGGCAACACTGGTCTATGTCCCTGGTGGATTGTAAAGCCCTTTGCAACTGGGCTTTAACCAACTTGACTTCATACGGTATATCGCATTTCAGCTTTTCCGGAATATTCACCATCACTGAATATATCATGCTCTTCAGTGCCTTAATTACATTACGCATTCTTTCTGTCTGGCAAGAGTTTTTCTTGGACTTTTTTTGAGTTAAGTGAACTTGTTTCTTGACCTCTAAGACATAAATGAAATGATACCCTCTTGAATTGTATTTCTAGTACTCCCACACGTAAAATCAATTATTCCTGCCTCTAAATTCTTACAATAGTATGTATTACACTGAGTACCTGGGTGGCTCAGTTGGTTAGGCATCCAGGTCTTGATCTCAGGGTCGTGAGTTCAAGCCTCGCATTGGTCTCTGTGCTGGTATGAAGCCTACTTTAAAAAAAAAAAAAAGTGATTCTTAAAAACTGTTGGTCAGATACTTCCCCAAAATATGTTTAAAAGTACACATTTAGGGCGCCTGGGTGGCTCAGTAGGTTGAGTGTCCGACTTCGGCTCAGGTCATGATCTCATGGTCTGTGAGTTCGAGCCCCGCGTCGGGCTCTGTGCTGGCAGCATGGAGCCTGGAACCTGCTTCGGATTCTGTGTCTCCCTCTCTCTCTGCCTCTCCCCCACTCATGCTCTGTCTCTCTCTCTCTGTGTCAAAAATAAATAAACATTAAAAAAAAATAAAATTACACACTTAACATCATAAGTTTATTTGCATTATGTTTACGTGGTAAATTTTAATCACTACCAATGATATAATTTCTAACATAGTAAAACATCAACTCTTTATAATAAATGTATGCTATCCCTTTAAAAAATAGATCCAAAGTAATCACAGTACCTGTTTTAGGTTAGGTTCTCTCAGAAGACACCATGCTAGTGCAAGTGATTTATTAAGCAGGCTCTCCCAGGAGAAACGGGTAAGGAAATGGAAAAAACATGATAGGATTCAGGTGAAGTCCCAGCCTCAGCCCGATGCTGCTGGGAGCTTATGCATGTCCAAGTTTATCCCATTTCTGGGCAACAGAGTTACCTTTGGAAGCTCTGCACTTGTCATTATTGGCTATGACACAGTGGGTGTATATGTGGCAGCAGGGTGGGAGGTGGATTGGAAACAGACTCCAGCCTTTTTCTTTATTTTAGAGTGGATAGGCTCCAGAAGCCTAAAGCAAGAGCAGCAAAGCATACAAGCTGGGAGATGGGGCACAACACTAAATAAAGGAAACTGTGGCTATTAGATTCCAAAGGTGTCAACAATCCCCCAACAATGTGACATTACCAATAATTAAAAAAAATATATATTAGACTTTGATTCTGGAAGATGGAGTAGATATATTTTCTTCCTGCTAAGTGCAACTAAAAACTCTGGACATGTGTAGAAAACAAACATAAGAAGACTGAAAGGTGAAGAGGGGAAGGTGGACCAGCTAGGGATCTCGGGACCTAAAGAACAACACAGTGGTAAGTGCTCTGGGTTTTCTTGTTACCCCACATATCCCAGACTGGGAACTGGAAAAGCCAGAGCCCAGAAATGCCAATGGGCTCAGAAAAAAATAAATAAAATTCCAGTAAAAGCCAGCTCTCTCTAGCCAAAGAACCAGGAAACCTTGTAAGGAGAGAAAACTTAGAAAGTAACAGCTATACGGGAGAAGCCCAGCAGTTAGCTGGGGCTTAGCAGACAGATGAGGGCAGGAGTTAGGAGTCATTGTCTGAGGTCAGAGCTGCTGGAATGTATGAGATGGCTGGGGTGAAGAGAGAAATGGAAGAAAGGCAAAGGCAGAAATAAGGAATGCCTACACATTATTGCCCTTTGGTTTACAATTAGAGAACAATTTGGTAGCTTAAAAAAAAGTACACATGCTTACTGTCCCTCCCTGGAGAGTCTCAGATCCTTTCTGTAGTTTTCCAAAGTTCTGAAGATGATTCTAAGGTGCAGTGAATATTGAAAACTGTTGATGGGTTTTAGAAAAAAAGAACTGAGAAGGATTCACCCTAATCAGGAAAACGATTAAGAAGAAAGTGTTCGGGATGCCCATGGATGCAAGAATGATTAACAGCAGCATTGGGGCACCTGGGTGGCTCGGTCGGTTGAGTGTCCAGCTTTGGCTCAGGTGATGATCTCATGGCTCGTGGGTTCGAGCCCCGCATCGGGCTCTGTGCTGAACTCTTGCTCAGAGCCTGGAGCCTGTTTCAGATTCTTTGTCTCCTTCATCTCTCTGCACCTCCCCTGCTAGTGCTTTGTCTCATTCCCTCAAAAATAAATAAATGTAGAAAAAAAAAATTTTTTTAAGAATAATTAACAGCACAAAATGCTGCAGGATGGCAAGGAGATTGAGGACTCCAAGGAGCTTCTTTCTGGAACAATGAAAGAGAAGATTGTATTGGAAGACTTCCTAAATGTTGTAGGGATGCTAAAAGAAATTAGGAAAAGTAAATAATGGTATCTTATTATGAAGGTCAAAGAAAAAATCTCTCAATAACTTTAAAGCTCCTTGGCCATTATCCATGATGCATTTACTTAGAGGATAATAGATGTTTATGAAGTCTACCTATTTTAAAAATACAAGTACAAAATCAGATCTCAGAAGGTAAGCATCTGAGATGCAAATCTAAACATATTTACATGAAAACTTAAATTATAAAAATACTAAGAAATGGCAAAATCACAATGTTTACTACGTTGTATAATTTTTTTCTTGATATTCTGGTTAATTTTATCCTTAGTCCTATGACTAACTAGTAATTTCTCTTTAAATATAAAATTTACAATTTGATACTTTCTGAAAATATGGTATGAAGGATCTTCATTTTATAATGAAAATAAATGGAAAGTAAATGGTAACATATATGCAGAAGTCTATTAATAACTTTCTCATTTTTATTTAACATGATGCTGTCAGCACTCCTGTCGTGTAAATACAGCAGGTGTCAGAACTGCTATTATGCAGAAGAGGAAAGAGAAGGCCTTGGGAATTCAGTGATTTGCTCAAGGACCTCCTTGCAGCAGTCAAAACTCAAACCCAAGGTTTCCGATTCCTTGAAATTCTCCAAAATAGTATATAAAGATTCTACAAAGATTCCTATGTCTTAAGTTATCATTTCTGACCAGGTTTAGTGGAAAACTAGGTCCCACCTGTGTCACAGAGACCGTGTGTCAGTGGCAAGCTCTGGGTTGTGAGAAATAATGAGAAACAGGGTTCAGGTATTTTGTCCTGAACAAAAAGCCTATCAGTTCTTTTCTCCACAAGGTCAAAAGAAAGGGAAGAACTTGTTACTGGACTCCATGGCAACAAGAAGCAGACTTATCCCCCTTTAAAAGCTGGAGATTTCAAAGTTAAAAAGAAATGTGGAGATGACTTTTACTCAAGTATTCCTAATGTTAAGGTTCTTCAACTGAAAGAGTATTATAGTTGTGTTTTGCAGAAGTAGAAATTGAAACTTAAAAAAAAAAAAGTCATTTAAAAAGTCAATTTTGCTTTGTTTTTTAAAAGATTTTATTTTTAAGTAATCTCTATGCCCAACGTGGGGCTCAGACCCATGACCCCACAATGGAGAATCCTATGCTCCTCTGCCTGAGCCAACCAGGTGCCCCAGTCAATTTTATTTTTGCAAGGAAATCTCTATGTGACTAAAACAGATGGTATTTAATAAGCAAATATTATACACAGCTATTTTTAAAAGTTAGGGAGTTCTCTAAAATACAGAGAAAGAATAAATCTTGCTTTTCTGAGTGGCTCATATGCTCAAGAAACTAAAATACTCTTATAAAGAGCAGCTTTGGAATATCTATTAGAAACATTACACTACCAAGACCCAATCTTAGTAATCTTCAGGGAAGATAGTAACACTGATTCCTGGATCATCATCATTTTCAAGTTCTTTATCATTTTCTTCAATACATTTGCCACATGCTTCTGGGTTTCTTTTTTTCTTATGAGTATATGATGAATTATTTTTGTCTTTGATTTTCTCTTTGGGATGTGAGTTAGTAATAGTTTCTTTTTCCAAAGCATGTTGTAGGCAGTTGTAAAACCTATAAAGAAATAAATACTATTGTTATATCTATGTTCTGAAATAGCATGAATGAAATACATCTACAACTTATAAGTTATATAAATTTTATGTTTTGTATTAACCTTAAAATATAAAATGAGTTAGGGAAATAATATGCTTCTTGCTTTTTGGTATGATCATTTAATTAGGAAATGTGTTTTCAGTTTTTTAAGAACACTCCTAAAAATTGGTTGGAATCACCTCTTGACAACTGGTATTCTACCTCAAATTCTATTCCACGTGTAGGAGTCAAACAAAGAAGGTAAAAACAGAACAGATACTATTTTCCTTTATAAAAAATCACAAATGTAATAAAATCTCATTTTCGAAAATTTGGCAAATATATGAGGTTACAAATACAGATTACCTCTATATAACTACCTAGAAATAACTTGTCAATATTTTAATTCTTTCCAGTTTATTAATATATTCTGAATTAATGTACTTATGCATGCACCCATATATCTACTGTATTTTACAGAATTTTTATATATAAAATTTTACATTTTCTGTTATATATTTATTGAAAAATTTTTCTATATCATCAAATAAACTACAGAATAACACTTTTTAATGATAGTATAACATTATGTCATCTAGATTGGCCTTAATTAATTTTCAAACTTTCCCTAATACAAACAACAGTGTGACAAACATTTTCAAAAATAACGTGACCTGAGTTTCTAGCTGTTTATTTAAGGCAGACCCCTAGAAATGTAATTACCTGGTTAAAGGGTATAAACGGTAAAGCTCTTGATAAATACTACTTGTTTTCCAGAATGGGTGTTCAAAAAAATATGCTTCTTTTTTCTTTTTAAATGTTTTCTAATGTTTATTTTTGAGAGAGAGAGACAGAGTGCGAGCTGGGGAGGGGCAGAGAGAGAGAGAAGGAGACACAGAATCTGAAGCAGGCTCCAGGCTCCGAGCTGCCAGCACAGAGCTAACCACACGAGGCTTAACCCGGACTCCAGACACAGATTATGACCCTGGCGACATGCCGACATTGACATAACCAACCTGGAGCCCACCCAGGCCCCCCCCCCCCCCGCCCGTAAATATGGCTAATATGACAGACCACTTCACTCAAATATTGAATATTACCATTAAAAAACATACTTTACTTTGATAGGTGACAATGTCCCATTATTTTTTGTTTGTTTATTTTTCATCTGCTTATTAGCTATCTTAATTTTTTAAATATAAATTATTCTTTTCCTTTCCTCATTTTCCTACTTCCACGTTAGTGTTAACTTTGTGGTACAACAAACTGTCAGCTCCCTGAAAATTTTTCTTCATGTCTTTTCTTCTTCCGTGTTAGCACCTAATACAATGCTCTGCCTCACACAGTAGCCTTCCGCATATGTGGAAAGGCAGAGAGGTGGCATGGTGTGTTGCATGTGCTTCAGATGTGTTCCACTGGGAAAGCTAAGCCAGGCTAATTCCAACTTTACTGAGTTTCGATTTCCTCATTTATAAAAGTGGGTATTATCTCGTACCAAGCTAAGTTGTCAGGAGGTTACAGGTTATATATGTAAGTACCTAGCACAGTGCCTGGCACAAAGTAAATTCTCAATATGACTATTTTTACAGAATATAAACTCTATGAGATCAACGACCCCATCTATCTTGTTTTCTGTTAATATTCTTAAAATGTAGTGCGATGCTGACACACTTGGGAAAAATATGCCAAATAAGTGAACAAATAATAAATGCTGAACAAAAAGGTGAATAAGGATGTGTTATAGTAGGTCCCAAATTAGAGTAATCTGGAAGCTCAGAATTCCCTTGCCATTGTGGGGATCTCATCACACTTTACATTCTATTATAACGGCAAACTGTGACAGGGAATTTTGAGACCTATACAATAGATGACTATTTGGACCAATTTTCTTCTATCTTAAATTCAACGAACAGGTTAAGTTCTACTTGCAAAGGCTCTAAACTGCCCTAAAAAACCCAAGAGGTATTCACCTGTTTCCAAACATTCCACATAATTCTAATACATACCTAACATGAATGCTACATATCCTGTCCGTATTTCAAGTACTATGTACGTACCACTGTATACCTTGATACCCAACACCATGATTGGCAAGTAATAGGTACTCAATAGATATTTCTTCAATTAATAAATCAGTCTCAAAGACGGAGGTATAGTACAAGGAAAAACAGTATAGTAGGAGGTACAGCAAAAGGCTTTGAAAAATAGTAACTGATGTATAATTTTTTAGACCCTGTCCTGTTCCATGGTAACAGTCTTTTAATTTAATGTACCCCTTATATCCTTACTTAACTGAAATCTGGTCCCCCCACAAAGACACCATCTGCTCTGCATTCCTCTCAAGTGGAGATGTTTATTCTTTCCATATCCTACCTAACACAGAGTTGAGGTGAGGTCAGAATTCAGCTGGCTCACCAACACTTCACCAGACGAAACTCCTTCATCTGCCCCTCACGCCAATCTACTGGTATTTTGTTCAGTCCCTTACATTCATGAAAACTTCTATACTTGGCATGATCTTTCTCTCCAGGTCTTACCATCATCTTGGGTAACTTCAATGACTTGTTTTCTTCTCATCTTCCACACTGTCTATTTAGAATAGCTTAATAAAATGACCCTGTAGAATGATTCATTTTATATAAAACATAAATCCAAAAATTCATACCACAAAATGGTGTGAATCACCCTTATTTGATCATAAGAGGCTATCCATGATGTGCAAGTTCATTTTCTACCATTTCCCACCCAACTCTGAACTTTAGACTCAGGTAACCAAGTGTTTTTTTTTTGTTTTTTTTTTTTTTGTGGATTATACTTCATTCCTAGAAAATTAAAGGTAAGATTAAATTGCTCTTTTATGATCACAGAGAATTAATAGCTTGTGTAAAATATCTTGTCAATTACATTAAAAAAAAGTAACTAAAGAGGAACAGGTGCCTTACTTTAATCTTCCATTAAAGAACCTCAGAATTCAAAGCCACATCCGTGGGGTACCAAAAAACAACTGGTGAAATGGAACAAAGGCCCTTTGTGCTGAAAGCCAAGAATAAATATTTCAAATACTTTTTCCTTTTCCTTTTTTAAGACAATTTTTAAAAAGTTCTTTGGGAAACTATCTCTCTCGATAAGTCAGAAATTTGTTTTGCAATTACATGCTCTGCCCTCGTATGATGCCCCTTTACACAGCATTCTACAGCCCAATTCTCAAAGTGCAATTTTCTCAGCTCTCACAGGCAACAAAAAGAGCTCAGGATATAAAAGGAAATGTATGCACAGGCAACAGTCTTCCCTACCCCCTAAGAAAATCAAATTGTCTTCAGTTTCTCTACTTCTGCTGTCAAGACTGTCATGCCACAGGGCAACTTGTACTTAGTTCTCTTCATGACAGAATTTGTCAGACCAGCCCTGGGAAAATGAATTCTTGTTTTTCAGGTCAGTTAGAGGACCACTTGCAATAAAACGCTGATATTTCTCTGATTTCTTAAATAGGAACATAAAATTAATGAAAGCTGGACACAATTTCATACCTTTTAGGCTTCCATTACTCACAAATAACAAAGGTGGCTATTTTCATAAAAATGTATTTAGATTTTAACTGGATTAAACTCAAGCATTTTTATTTAAAAAAACAGGCATGTGAACATTGCCTGTGCCAGGTGCTGGGAAGAGAAGTAAGAGACCCAGTTGTGCCCTCAGGGAGCTCAGGGTTTAAGGGACTGCAGAACTGGTAAGACACATTCAGCATGCCATGAAAAAAGACAGGACAAAGTTGGGGCACACTGGCAGTACTCTGCTTTGAGTGAGATCATGGAACGCTCCTTGGAAAAAAAACCCAATGCCAGGGCTGAATAGTAAGAATGGACAGAAGTGGACTAGGTATGGGAAAGGAAAAAAAGGAGGGGAGGGAATATCCAGGGGGAACTATGCAAAAATAAAGTGTGTGTGTTCACTTTATATTATTTACTTCTTTTGACTGAAGTACCTAGGGAAACGTGCAAGTTATTTACTTGCTTTAATTCCATTTTAAAAATAAGACTAGATGGGGCACCTGGGTGGCGCAGTCGGTTAAGCGTCCGACTTCAGCCAGGTCACGATCTCGTGGTCCGTGAGTTCGAGCCCCGCGTCAGGCTCTGGGCTGATGGCTCAGAGCCTGGAGCCTGTTTCCGATTCTGTGTCTCCCTCTCTCTCTCTGCCCCTCCCCCGTTCATGCTCTGTCTCTCTCTGTCCCAAAAATAAATAATAAACGTTGAAAAAAAAAAAATAAGACTAGCAACAGTAGGGAGTCTAAGACCTCTGTTATCCTTGTCTCTTCCTTCTCTCTACCCCCATTTCTAGTCTGTCTCCATGTTCAGTTTACACTCTGCACTATCGCTCCCATTCATCTTGCTATTTAGGGTCCTATTAACTTCTCACCAGGACTCTGTAGCAAGAGCCTACACCTGCTCGCCCTATCTGTAAGCCATCCTACACATCTTCCAGAATAATCATCTAAGGCTCTGAAGCCTTGTAAGTAGCACTGTTGATGGAAAAAGTCAGTTAATGAATTTAGCAAATATTTATTAACCACTATTCTCATGCCAGATATTCAGAAAATAAGAAACGGTCTTTGCCTTTGGGGAACACTTAATGTGTTAACTTTTAAGTTCTTTTATTGTCTGTTATTAATTCAATACACATGTATGGTTTTCCACTATGAGCTGGATACTATGTAAGGTTTTAGGATAAGAGTATTTAAAATGTGCACGCGTGTGTGTGCGTGGGGGGGGGGGGGTTGGTGACAGGGAGAAGTCAGTCCTATTTCCAATGTGACCACATTGTAGTGGAAAAAAAGGACATACGTACAAGTAAATAATGGTAATTCAACACAGTTCACATTTCTGTTTTGCCCTGAGTGGTAATAATACTGATAAATGATAGTAAATAAATACTGGTAAATAATATTGGTAAATAATAACTGGTAAATGGTAAATAATGCTAGTAAACGAATGTGAATGAAGGCCATGGCTATGGGGTTGAGACTAGGATAAGAAAGATAATAAAGAAAGGCTGATAGAGTGAGTATTCTAGTTAGATATGTTCAAAAGCTTATTGTATATATAGGCTCGGGACTTGGGAGAAATTTGGAAGACCTACCATTTATATGGGGAAGTAGCTGAAGCAATGGGCCAAGGGCAGTGTGTCAGAGAATAGTAATACTTAACCACCAGGTAGATTAATAAGGGAAATCCAGAAGGAAGCTGAGAAGGAGCACCACAAACAGGAAGGAAAGGAGCAAAGTGATATAAGAGAATCTCTTGCCAATAGGTATATGAAGACATGCTCAGTGTCACTAACATCAGGGTAATGCAAATCAAAACCACACAGACATCACCTCACACCTATCAGGATGGACATTATTAAACACACACACACACACACACACAGACAGACAACAAGTGTTGGCAAGGAAAGGAACCCTTGTGCATTGCTGGTGGGAATATAAGACAGTGCAGCTCCGGTGGAAAACGGCATAGCAATTCTTCAAAAAATTAAACCTGGAACTACCATATGATCCCACAATTCTACTTCTGGGTCTATACCCAAAAGAACTGAAAAAGAAAAAGAACTGAAAAAGAACTGAAAAAGAACTGGGTCTATACCCAAAAGAACTGAAAGTCGGGACTTGGATATTTGTACAAATATGTGATAGCAGCATTATTCGCAATAGCTTAAAGGCAGAAAAATCCCAAACATCCACTGATGAATGAATGGATATATAAAATGTGGTATATAAATATTGGAATATTTATGTGGTATATAAATGTGGTATATAAATATTGGTATATAATGTGGTATATAAATTGGTATATAATGTGGTATATAAATATTTATGTGGTATATAAATGTGGTATATAAATATTGGAATATTACTTAGCCTTAAAAAGAAATGAAATTGTGATACCTGCTACAACATGGATACACTCTGAAGACAGTATACTAAGTGAAATAAGCCAGACATAAAAAGACAGATATTGTATGATTCCACTTATGTGAGGTACCTAGAAGAGTCAAATTCATAGTAATAGAAAATAGAATAGTGGTTACTAGGGGCTGGGATTCTAGGGAATGGGGATTTATTGTTTAATGGGTACAGAGTTTCCGTTTAGGATGATGAAAAGGTTCTGAAGATGGATAGTGTTGATGGTAGTGGCTGAGTAACAATGTGAATGTACTTAATGCCATCGAAATGTACAGTTTAAATGGTCAATTTTATGTACATATATTTTACCATAAAAAAGAAAAGTTAAAAAAAAAAAAAACAACCAACCATCGGATATAGATTCATTTACTTTTTCTCTCCAATTTGCTTTATCAACAGTATTATATGCCAATGTACTCAGCCCTTTTACTCTATATTTAGCATTTTCTTACTACACAGTTGGTGAAGAGAAGAACACGACTAACTTCATTGTACTCATAGCCAAATGTGGTTTCATCTGACCCAAGTCAGTCTTGATCTCTTATTAATAGATCCAAAGATAGCCTTCCTCTTGTAATTAGTAGTAAATAGATCTCCAAACTTGGTATTTTTTGCCTAGAAACCATTATGTATGAATGTATCTTACTCTTTCCACTAAGAAGTGGGCTAGGGAACTGTTTTACACAAACAAGACCTTTTTTATATTAAGAACATTTTACCTGTTAACTTTAATTTTCGCATTTCTAGATCATTTCTTATTGCTGAAATGTTACTCATTAGAATCTGACTTATAAAAATTCTACTATAGTCATTTGAATTATGAAACTTTGGTCCTACGACAAACCAATTTTAGTACTCTATCTGATTGCATGACTTATCACCTCCAGTGTTTATTATTTTTTCACTTTTCAACATCAGAAGGGTGACTTTTCTCTGCCTTTGGTTGGATGTACAGCTGTTCCCACAGGAACTCTCTAATTTGTTCCCCCTTTCTGAATTCACATGTAATCTTCTAATCAGTATCTTGAGACACTTTTTACCCTTCTGTAATTTTTCACTGATTTCATATGATGAGCATGGCTCTCTTGATAGCAGCATGCACACTATAATCTCAAAACATATTTCCGAGTCAATGGATTTAAAGTATAATTTGATTTTATAGTTGGTGAACGTGGCTCAATTAACTTCACCAGGTGTATAGTTAGTTGCTCTTGGGCTATATTTATAATCTTGTTGAAATTCAAGTAAGGAAACAGAGAAACTGATTTGTTACTTCCTATGTTTTAGCAAAGAGTCTCACTGGAATACGATCTAAGAAAAGTAGTAAACTTTTGGAATGGTACCAATGAGTACCTGCATGTAGTTCAAACTCTGTAGTCTGCTCAAGTGGCTGGGTGCTCTTCAGTACTTACTTGAAATTATCACTTCATTTAGAATGTTTGCTCAAAGCCAGGTAACCCCTCTGCTTTTTTCAACCAGGGTTACACCAGAAAATTAAGCTCTAATGCCCTAAGACATCCACTGTACATAATGACTTAAGTTCTCTCCAACGTATCTATGATGGAAGATGTATACCATTGTTGAGAGAAATGAGAAACAGTCACTTGAATAATTTTGTGAATTCTATGGTTCAAATGAGGAGCTCTGGTTGAGAAAGCCTGGATGGTGGTAGTGATGTGATTGTAGGTTTATTTTCTATATGTGTCCGTGAAGAAAGAAAAGCACTACTCTATCCTGAGATCCATGACATGACATGGATAGGGCTGGTCATTTTACATATGCTATTTAATGTATACTAAAACTGTTTTTTAAAACAAGTATTTCTCCCAAGTTAGACACAAGAAAAATTAAGCCAAGCGAGTTGAGTTAATTGTGGTAAAACCTGGAATCAAACTCAGCTCTGCCTCTGGGTCCAAATTCTCTCTCTTTCCACCGTCCTACACTGCTACCATTGGCACCTGTAGCCTTAGCTTCTCCAAAGGGGGTGAGAAGGAAACTGTAGGTATTAAAGAATGTTACACAGGCAAGTTGAACAATAAGATTCCTTTGCATTTTAGTCAGGATTCTTTTAACTTTTTAAAAAATTTATTTATTTTGAAGAGAAAGAGAGAGAGAGAGAGAGAGAGAGAGAGAGAATAAGGGGAGAGGGGAAGAGAGAATCCCAAGCAGGCTCTGAGGTGTCAGTGCAGAGACTGATGTGGGGCTGTAACACACAAACCATGACATCATGACTTGAGCAGAAGTCAGACACTTAATTGACTAAGCCACACAAGTGCCCCTGCAGTCAGGATTCTGAGGGTGATAACAGAGAATGGCTTAGCATGAGAGACACATTAGAAGCATGCTACTATGAGACCAGCTAACAAGGCTATATTGCAATGGTCTTGAATAAGGAAAGTGACAGTACAGATGGGGAGAGAAGAATGACTTAAGAATTACTTGGGCAAGGATTGACCGGTTGTGAGGTAACCAAGGAGAAGAGAAAAAGGAAATTCCAAACGACAAGAAGTTGACCATCACTCCTTGAATAACTCAGAAGTATACATCTTGCTGATGGTAGTTCAGTGGCATTACCTTCATATAAGAAAAGCAGCATCATAGTCACTGCTTTATGTCAAAAACTCGGTTTTTAGGAAAAAGTTGAGAAGAAAGTAATGTAAGAGTTTTACTTACCAGGAGGTAAAGTTTAAGAAGAAGAAAAGTATAATGATGTGAATTGATAGCCATAATCCTTCCCAGTGGAACAATTATGGCAATTCTAGATTTAATCCCTAAGAACCAGCCAAATATGTAAAATATTTATCAGACTAAAATTAACCAGATTGCTTTCCTCAAAAGGAGATTGTAGGTAATCTCCAGTAGAACACATCCAGGGGGCAGTGTGTACCTCTTCCCTGGCTGCCTTCAAGTTGATCAGTTATGGTCCCTGTCACTGTTGGGCTCTCTTACCTGAGTGATTATGCTTCTCACCTTTATGCATGTTGCTGGCAGTCATGTCCCACTGCCCTCCATGGAGCCTCCCCTTTATGCTCTATTTAGTATCCATTACAGTCTGGGCTACTCTCATCTATTACTTTGATCATTTTTTTTATTATCTGTGATAAGGCTACAAATAGAAAAGTAGCTGGGAGTATAAACTGAAGATGGCATGTATCAATGTTTTCAAAGATGACCTAGATATATAAGAGTAACATGGAACTATACAATTAATATACCTTTCAATTCTCTTCTTGTTTTCCTCCATTTTTTGATTTGCTATCTTTAACAGGAAGTCGATATATTCCTCAGTCACCATCAGTTTTCCTTTATGGCTTAATGGAACTTCTAAGCCATGTGTGCTCCGGATAGCCTACAAGGACAAACAATTTAGATACAATGATTTATGTACTAGAGACACTGAAGATAACTAAAGAAAAGTCCCAGTCAGGGCAGTGTTTAAAGATAGTTGGGTTCCATTACAGGATTTAAGTTTATGCTTTAATATACTTTAGCTAAACACAATTGAATGAAAGGAGATTAAATAGATTTTCCCAACACATAAAGTTATTTCTGAAGAAAGTCATTCTACACATTGTTTTTCAGAAAAGCAGATAATATCCAAGAATCCAATCACTTTAACAGTTTCAGTCTCACTAAAGCTTAGTAAGACTTAATGCCCTATTTAAAGAAAAGAAATTAATGAAATCTCAACAGCAGCTTCAAGGGAAAATCAAAATGGATTGGATGCGGAAGAGCCTCTTAGTGCTGCTTGAGCAGAGTGTGGTTATAAGAGAAAACCAAGCCTGTCCTATCTCACAAAGTGGCTGCTTTTTCCAGGCTTGAGGGTTGCCAATCTTAGAAAACCTGTTGATGAAATAGTCAGCATGTGCCAAGTAAATCCAAACAATGGAAATAGGTTAAGAACAGCAGCAAAAACTATTATGAGAAATAAAAATTCTCTCAATAGACTTTTACAAAAGAGCATCTACGATGTTTCATGTGCTATGACAGGAGAGACACATGCACATATGTGTGCAATATGCCCATGCGTGTACATATACCCATACACACGATGCTAAGGAAATATAGAAGAGGAGCAACTAATTGAGTCTGAGGCCTCGGCTTCCTGGGAAAGGTAGCATTTGAGTTGGGGTTTTGAAGGATAAATGCAATTTCACCACACATAAAAATGGAGGCAAGGGGTATTCCAGCAAGAGAACGACTTATCTATAGTCATGGAGACATGAAAGAGCATGATACATTTGGGAAACAACAGATAGTTTTCTATCTGGCTGGAACAGAAATATGCTAGCAGAAGATGAGCATAAAGAAGATCGATGGAAAACAGTTTGGGTAAAGCCTTGAATAACAGGGGAAATATATAGAGACCCTGACTTTTTAAAAAGGGGGATTCTGATAGTAATGGCTCAGGGTGACTGACGGAGAAGATGGATAGCAGGAAGACCAGTCAGGAGACTGAGGTGTGGGACCATGAGGACTTATGTAGGGGCAGTAACAAGGGGCTTGAACAGGTGGGGTCGGGTGTAAGAAATTAGACGTGGATGTGATAGGACTTGTAATTAATTGAATATGGAAGACAAAGGAAAGGAAAGTGAAAGAACAACTCTGTTCTTGCTTGGGCTACCAGATGCAGTGTAGGGGAAGGAGACAGGGTGGGACACAAACCAGTACTGTGGACTCTGACTTTCTATTTAGTCATGCTTTTTTTTTTATAGATGTCTTCTTTTGTACGCCATCTCTATTTGGAGAATGGGCAATTTGTTAAAATAGAAAAATAGGAACGTCTAGGGAGCTAGAATGGAGGAAAACCTGAAATAGTTCAAAAGCAAAGAATGCATGCCATTACAAATAGTAAATGCTACAGGAAACAGGGCAAAATCGCTAGGAGTTGGCTTGGCCAGGAAAAGGACTCAGAGAGGCTGGGGGCATAGAAAGGTCTTTAAAGATCATCTAGTCCGGGGTTGGTAAACTTTTTCTATAAAAGGATAGATAGTATATATTTCTGACTTTGTGGCCATAAAATATCTGTCATTACTGCTCAGTTTTACCACTGTAACACAAAAGCAACTTGAGACAAAAACTTATCAAGTGGGAGTAGTGGGATCTGACCTCCTGTGGACTGGACTTGGTCCCAGGGCAGTAGTTTGCTGGACCCATAATATGGCTAAGAAAATTCAGATCCTAAGGGATTAAGGAGCTTGCCTAAGCTAATACAGAACAGCTGTGGTGCCCCCAATACCCATGTAGACCCTCTTTATAGACCCTCTGCCTATCAGTCTTTCCACTATATCATAGTACTTATTAAATTGAGCCTTGACTATGGTGAGGAGGGCACAGAGAATCTGGCTGAAAATAAATAGAGGAAGATAGTATAGGATCTCAGATGCAAATCTAAGAACTCTGGACTCTGCTCTATAGCAAAGAGTAAGGTACTGAAGCTTTCTGGGCAAGGGCATGGCAAGAAGATTTGAGTAAGGAGAGACTAAAGGCTAGAATCTAATGAGGTTATTCTATAATCTGAGTCACTTTGCGCCCAAAGAATTGCTTTTTGCCAAAAGTTATCTTACCAACATAGTCTTTCCTCTCTTTCCCACAGTTATGCCAGAGTTCCTGAAACCAGAATCTATTGCCACTGAATGCTGTAAGAAAAGAAATTATTTAAATTCTGATAATCTGGCTAATCGGATAAACTCTGATTATTTAGCTCTACATGAACTGAAGAAACATATATAACCCCAAATCTATAATTAAATTTAAAAACTAGTTAATTAAACTAACATTGCATTGTTTTGTTTTTTTTTTTTTGGTAGATTTAAATTTTAAAATTAAATCTACCCACATACCTATTAATTCAAGTATAATCATAAAAATTTACCAGAATCTGTGCATCCTGTAACTGTCGACACTGCACATGAAGAATAAGTGGTTCAAATTTCAAAATGGCATCACCATTTGCTTTCTTCAGAGCTACAATCTAAATAAATGAAAAATGTTAGCAATAGGACACAAAAATATGATTCTGTTCTCTGGTGACCCTTTATCATATGCAACTTCAGTTTTTCCCAGAAACATTCAGACTCATCCAGCAACCTTTTTCTGCAATAACTTTTTACTCTGCTTTTTTGGTCCTCCATCTCCAAAAACTGATTAAGGGAGACACAGAATCTGAAGCAGGTTCTAGGCTCTGAGCTGTCAGCACAGAGCATGACATGGGGCTCAAATGCATGAACTGCGCGATCATGACCTGAGCTGAAGTCAGATGCTCAATCAACAGAGCCATCCAGGCACTCCAGTAATGTATAATTTATTTATATCAGTATGCTGGTAATATACAGATAGTGTTAATCCCTTTCACTCAGCTCTTTTCTCCTATAATTTGTTCCATGTTACAAAGTCATCAAATGGTAGAACTGATATTCCTGTATTTTTGATCTATGTGTCCAATATCCATAAACTCTCTATGTCCAAGAGGAATGCATACATAATTATATACATGTATATGAGTAATGCATACATATATGTATATGTATATATATGTACATACAAGTAATGCATATATATGTATATGTGTATATATACGTATGTGTGTGTGTGTGTGTGTGTGTATATATATATATATATATATATATATATATATATATACACACACACATGCATACATACTTTTATCTCTACAAATCAAAAAGCCACTGTAATGAATTCTCTTCGGGCTCTCTCATCTTCAGTCATTATGACTGTGTACATAAATCTACCTCTAGTGTTCTATGTTCTTTATTTGATGTGACTGTGAATTAAAAGTTTATTTCTAGGGGCGCCTGGATAGCTCGGTTGGTTGAGCATCAGACCCTTGATTTCGGCTCAGGTCGTGATCCCAGGGCCGTGGGCTCGAGCCCCAGGTCAGACTCAACGCTAAGTGTGGAGCCTGCCTGCGATTCTCTCTCTCTCCCTCTGCCCTTCTCCCCTGCTTGTGTGTTCTCTCTGTAAATAAATAAATAAATTTTAAAAGTTTATGTATAAATCTATATATAAAAACTTACCACATCATCTTTTACACAAGGTTTGTGTGTGACCAGTAGCCAGCAACAGTTTTGCTTTTGAACCTCAAAACCATTTATATTCTAAAATAAAAAAATAATAAACATAATTCTATCATATTTATAAAAATAACAAATACAATGCATAGCATAATTCTAAGCTTTCTTAGGTGAATAATGCCAAGTGGTAATTTTAAGTATTACTGAGAACAATTCAATAGGCTTTGGGTAAAGTTAACCCAAAACAAAAAATGAAACCAAATTAGCTGAGATAGAAAGAAAATAAATTGTTTATCATAAAAACTTAATATTTTATGAAATATGGTCATGATTTTGTCAGGAGAAAAGGGATTATTCTAAGAGGTTGTACACTAGCAGCCCTGAGTTGTACTCTAGTCTAGCTGTTTTATTTGACTTGTACAATATTAAAAAAACAAATAACAAAAAAACAACTTGAACTCCTTTTGTTAAGAAAGCACTGTACCAATCCCACACAGGGCTTACTACTTTTTACTGACACCTCAGCTGTTCATACCCTTATGTCTCTAGCCTCTAGAGGCATATATTTGTAATATGTGGATTAGACTTTATATGTAGTCCCAAAGGGCAGAGCTAGGACTGCAAGGTCAAAGTTTAAAGAAGGCAAATACCTAAACATCAGATTTTTTTGTTTGTTTGTTTATTAACTGGGGAATGTTTGTTTTTAAACTTCATTAGATTCTTTGGGTACAAACAGATCCTACCCTCTTGGAAAGAGAATGCAGTAAACCACAAGTACTTGTAAATCACTATACTTCTACAAAGTAACTATTTTTACAATGGGTACACAGGAGACTTGGCTATCTGGCTTTGAAAAGCGGAAAAGCTCTGCTTGTCCTGAATAACTGGTTTGCTTTCATTGAGTGACATGTATCTGATCTTATGCTGGCTGCTGTTAATCTTAAGAGTTAAATGTGTGGCCCACCTCTAGAAAATTTATAGAATATGGGGGCATGTTTGGTAACTAATGCCATTTCTAGCTTCATCTTATCTATACTCCCTTCACCTCCATTTCCCCACTTTTTATTTTTCTTCCTCTACTGCTTTTCTGTAATTCAATGCAATTCCTTCCTGAAATAAGGCTAAGTGAAAATAAATAATCTACATAGAATGAAAAGAGGTTCTGAAAAAGTCCTAAGGCAGTTCAGGAGAAGCAGTCATTACTTACAAGTGGGTGTGTATGCTTGTGTTCAGATGGGAGAGGGGAGTTTTTGGAGTCACATCTCAAACACACAGAGATGGGGGAAAACATTTCAGGAAAAACAAACATGAAAAAGGCAAAGGCTGGTAAATCTGAGAAAGGACAGTTCAGTTTTAGTAAATAGATAAACATGAAGAGAAGTAGCAGAAAATAAGGGAGCAGCAGTAGGGTTGAAAGGTATACTAGGATAGAGGTTTGGATTTTCTGATGGTGAAAAATGTGTAATAAAAGATTTTAGCATAGATGAGTGACATACACAGAGTTGTCTTTAGGAAAGTAAATCTGTTAACAGTATGTAACGTAGTTTGGGGTTTAAGGTAGTAGATCAGTGACCTGTTAGAAAAACACTGCAGAAATTTAGGTAAAACAGTGTAGTAGAAATGGTGGAAGAGAGTAAGCCCAGCTAGAGTGCCACTGTTCAGGAGGCAATGGAGGCGATATAAAAATATACAGGCCCTCCTAACCTGGGAGATCAGCAAATTATCAGTGAATGAGGATCTAAAGAATGAGCTTATGAATGTGCTGTCTTTCGTGCTCTGAATTTAGTCCTAACGCTAAAATTAACAGGGAGCTAACTTTTACGGTGCACTTAACATGGGACAGACATGATGCTAACTAAACATTTCAAATTATCCTATTTCTTTTACACAGAATCCCTATGAAGCAAATACTCTATTATTCTCAGTTCATGGAACAGGGAGGGAGGGGCTGAGTTTAGGTAATCTTCCTAAAGTCACATAGCCAATAAGTCCCATGACTGGTTTTAAATCTAAGCAGTTATCACTCCAAAGCCTGTGGGTTTGACCACTATCTCAGACTACACCATACCAAATATTCTATTGTACTCGGCTTAACGTAAAAATTCCCAGAGCTGTAATAAGGGATTTGGCCACCAGGAGGCAGTAAACTCCTTAACCCTGGAGACGTTCTATAAAGTAGTTAACAATGATTTGATAGGGCGATTGAAGAGAAAAGGAGCCTCGCCCAGCTGGAAAAGTCTTTAAATTCCCCCTAATATTCAGAATCAAATTCTCTAACCTTTGCAACTCAAGATCATTCCCAGGCCACCAGTTTCCTCGTCCCTTGGGGCCTTGTTAGAAATGCATAATATCAGCCCAACCCAAGAATTACTGAATCAGAATCTGTATTCTAAAAAGCTCCCAATGATTAATAGACACATTAACGTGTTAGAAGCACTGGTTTAATTCAACCTGTAAGTTTCATAAAGAAGCCGAGACTACCCATCAGAAGGACAAACACAGGCTGGACTGGAGTGTTCGGACTGGGGTGTTGTTCAGGTGGGCACAGGACTCTGGTGTTGCACACCACAGAGTGGGCACTGAAAGGACAAAAAACGGCCTCACCCCATCTAGGAGGATGATGCGCCCAGCGCAGGAACTCGTGGTGAAGTACTGTTCTCGCCCATTCAGGAGCTGCACAAGTTCTACCACATCCTCATCCACACTGCCCTTTCGGCTGAGGTCTGCTTTGCTCAGACCCTGTGCCTTCCATCTCTTGAACTCTGCGTTACGATCCATGTGAGGAAGGATTTAGAGTCTATACTTTGACGTTAGGTCTCGCCTTTCCCTGGGGGAAGCCATATTGTAGCGGGTGGTGGCCGTAAAGGCCCAAACTTCCTCTTCGTACCGAGTTCGGGAGCTGGTTGCGCCCTCGTCTGGGGGCGGGGAGAGGCGGGCGGACCAGGAGGAGCCAGCAAATGTAGAAGACGCCCAGGTCCGTCCCCTTTTTTGTGGAATCTGAGTGAGCCCTCGCAGAATTTGCTTCCCCTCTCTAGAACCGGGTAAGTGGTTTTAAAAAGTCCCGTTAGTTGTCCAGGCAGCGGATCTCCCCGCCGCTTGTCCAAAAAGGGGCCGAGTTGATTGAGGTGGCGCTCCTACCTCGCGTTCTGTCCTCCTGAAAAATTTGCAAAAGGAGCTCGTGGCCGAGGACGTTTTCCTCTACGGGCTGCTTGTTCCTCAGGCGTAAATCGCGCGGGTACTTTAACTTGATGGCCGCGACCTCCCGGCCCTGGTCTCCAGTGAGATCCGCGTTTGCGCTGCACCCAGCAGGGCGCCTTTGGCTCTGCCCCCGCCGCCGGGCCTGGATGTGGGCATTCCCGCGGCCGCGCGCATCGGCTGCGTGGCCCCTGTGCTCAGCCCGGCGGGCAACGGCTTGTCCTTCGTGGTTCCTGAGTCTGCGGAGCTCCAGCCCGGCCCTATGTCGGCTCTGCCATCAGAGCTGCTGTCTTACTGTTGGAGAGAAATGCGTAGTGTTGTGGCCTCCCGTGCCCCGTGGCCCCCACCTGAAATCATTTTCAAAGGCAAAAAACTTAAAGAACACTGCGTAAACACATCGTTTGATGTTCACTTAGTTCCGAGACGAGACTTAACCTCAGTGACCAGGGAATGTGTTAATATTTGAACTGTTGAAAGGCTAAAGTTTGGACTGCCAGCGGGAAAGGTTGTGCAATTCTCACTGAAGCCAGCCGCACGCACCGTGTCTGGTCAGCAGCAACAAATCCCACTGAACTCTTCCTGAACCCAGAGAGCTGCCTGCCCAGTTCCATCCAATCTTTTCTTCCCAGAACGTGGAGGGGTTTGGAATTATCCATTCAACTCCTTCTCCACACCCTGCCGCCCCCCTCTTATCAGAAGTGGGCACTGAGATCCAGGCCAGGGGAGTAACCTACAGCCTTCGAGAGACTTTTCTTAGGGTACTTCTATTTTTTTTTAGTATTTCTGGCTTAAGGCTAATTAAAAAAAAAAAAAAAAAGGCTTACATAAGTCTTTCTTGATCAACAGCACATTTAGTAATGATTCTCTTGCCAAGTTCTTATTTTTTATGTCTTGCCAGCAATTCTTAATTTCACTTAATGCTCTTCTCTCATACTGTGCCTTTGCTCTGACTTTGTGACTTGGTCTCCTCATTCCATGTTAACATATATTTCTAACATTTACCCTATCCCTTTAGTTTTTATTGAAACCAAACAATTGAAACAGAGCATAGAAAAGATTTGAGGAAGAATTTTAAATTCTGATTTGCGAAGTATACTTGGCAACTTTTTATAGGTAAAAAGTACAACCAAAAATTAAACCAGGATCCTCTGGTTTAAATTTTATATTTAAATACACTAGCAGGGTAGCAGGTCTGCTGACATGCAAGTGATTTAACCTGAATAGTAGAGCTTATTGCATGCTGGGCGTGCTCTGAAGCACTCACCTGTGTGCTCTTGCAGTTTAATCTTCACAGGGATCCTCTGCTAGGGGATACTGGCCCCATTTTACAGATAAGAAAATTATTAGTTTTCCTAATTGAGTCATGTTCTGTGTATCAACAGTAGATCTCCCGAACTTCTAGGCATTTGGAAAATTTCAAACTCTGAGCAGATGCCTTAATCATAAAATATGTAATCCTACCTTCAGGTTAGTTGAATTTCATATTTCTAGCTCAGCCTGTCTCAGCTATCATCATTATAAAGTATATTTTTAAGAAATTAAGGCTCCTCTATGCCAACATTTCAAAGGATGAGATGAAAATGATTATACAGTAAAGGGAAGAAAAATCACTTTACAACACTTAAGATAGAGGACTTGGGTTCTCACTCTGCTTTTGTGTGACCTCTTAACCTCTTGGAATGTTTTCTCATCCACAAAATGGATGGTGTTTTATTTCCATTTCTGCATACAATTAAATGGTTGCTTTTTTTTTTTTTTAACCTATGGTGAAAATAATTATCCCAATGAACATGAAAGGCATACTTTGTAGAGGAACTCAGGTATTACAGGGTTTAAGAATTGTAATTGTTATTAGTGTGTTGTATTATTTTATTCTTTTTATTATTCCTTTTGACTTATCACCTTATGTATTATGAAGCAGATGATGACCCTGTGGGTAGTTGAGGGGGTTTTCAAAGGCAATTTGTGCAGATTGGAGCCTAATCAATCATAGTGGCAAAGGCTCAGTGGGAAATAAGATGGACAGAAGCAAAGTAGAAGACAGCGCTGTCAAGGTTATGCCCTGTCTCCTTACAAACTGGATAGGATAAGATGGCAGTACTGGACAAGGCAACAGGGTCTTCTAAATCCATTATTAAGGATGAGTATCCTCCTTCCTTTGTTCTTTTCTCCCAACTTGGTAGATGTCAAATGTAGCAGGGGAAATGTATGTGCTAGATAATTTTGACAGATCCTATTTCAGGGTAATTTTGCTTTTATTACTGCTGCAGTTCTTTGAGGATAATAATGATAATAATTTTCTGTTGGTGAAAAGGTAGATGCGAGAGTTTGAAAGAAGGAAATAGGTAGGAATTAGGTAGAAAGTGGAAAAGGAGCTACAGATCTTACATAGTGTATGTAGCTGTGGGAAGGAATGAGAGCACAGAGTGAGCAGGAGCTAGGAGGGGGGCTGGGACGTTTTCTCTTTGCCCTTTTTATTCTCTGAGGTTAGCACAGTGCCTCGCTTACAGTTAATGTTCACAAAATACGTGTTGAATGAATAACAACGTTTGATGTTAATGTGTCAAGAATTCTCTAGACTGAATTCTTTGAGGCCAAGGTCTTGTTTTTATAATCTGAGTCTTACAAATATTTACAATCAAAAGTGATTATGGAATTATAGAATCAAGAGTATTTTAATCAGTAAGAAATTGGAAAGGAGAAAATAGATAGGAAAGGAATAATGATATCTATTATATGTAAGAGTAAACATTTTTGCCAGATTCAGTGCCTGATGCTTGCTGTGTCCCTAGCACAGTGACCCTGAGTGGTTAGCCAGTTTTCAGATGAAGAAGCTCAAAAAAGTTGACTGCCTTGCCCAAGGCCATATGGCTAGTAAATGATAAGAGATGAAATTCATACTGAAAGCTGTCAGATTCCAAAGCCCATACTCTTACTATAACACTGTGCTGAAGACAAAAAGGAAAAAAAAAAGTTGTGTTCTTATTTCCAGAATGGAAAACTCTGATCAGAGCAACCTTCGTTTGTTGCTGTTGTTTCTGTTTCCTGGTCTTTACATTTTCACTTTCTTGTCTAACAAATACCCAGCCTGAGTGAAGACCCAAATAGAAATATAGTAGTGAGACTGCTGGTAGTTACGGAGTGAACTGCCTTTTCCTAGTCCTCACTCCACACAGGTGTCACCCTCAGGACTGCCTCACTGCTCTACAGTGACCTTAGGCTTGTGTTGTCTGTCTGCTTCCACCTCCTTGTGTTTGAGGTCTTCCCTTCAGGATGTGTCATTGCTAAACAGCCTTCTAGCAATGGAATATTTACTTACTCCTCTGTGCTAGGTACTATATTGCATCACTTCAAGGGTTTTAAAATGATACAACTTTTGATTAATCAAATCAAGAACTTTCCATTAATAACACTATCCGAATGCTCTTGATTACCTCCTGTACATGCAGTGACATTTTATCATTAGCATGTACTCTAAGTAGCCCTGTGTTGAGCTTCAATATGGTAAAAGTCTGAATTCTTTCAAGTCCTAGTTTCTGCAACTGTTTTTTTTTTGTTTGTTTTTAATTTTTTTAATGTTTATTTATTTTTGAGAGCGAGACAGAGTGTGAGCGGTTAAGGGGCAGAGAGAGGGAGATACAGAATCCAAAGCAGACTCTAGGCTCTGAGCTGTCTGCACAGAGCCTGATGCGGGGCTTGAACTCAACAAACCGCGAGATCATAACCTGAGCCTAAGTCGGACGCTCAACGGACTGAGCCACCCAGGTGCTCCTCTGCAACTGTTTTTGATCTTTCAGCTATTCATGGTTGATGAATATAATTATTCCAAAAGTTAGCAACAATGTTCTAGGTGGTGGCAGAATCTAACTAAATACTTGATGTGGTTAATTTCAAGAAATTGTGATAACACACAAGCAGAGTTATGGAGATACAGTCAAAAGCCTTTCATTACATCTCTTTAGGTATGGAAATTTTCCATAATTGCCTATTTTTATTTATTTTTTATTTTTTTTAACATTTATTTATTTTTGAGAGACAGAGAAAGACAGAGCATGAGCACGGGAGGGGCAGAGAGAGAGGGAGACACAGAATTCGAAGCAGTCTCCAGGCTGTGAGCTGTCAGCACAGAGCCTGACGCAGGGCTTGAACTCACAAACCGCGAGATCATGACCTGAGCCAAAGTCAGACACTTAACTGATTGAGCCACCCAGGTGGCCCATTACCTATTTTTATATTCAAGTGTCCTTTACCTTTTTTTAGAGTTTATTTTAGCTCTGAGTTTTCATTTCAATAATAACAGTGGTAGACAAAAATAACAACAGTGGTAGGACAGAAAGGTTAACTGCAAATGACCCTTATAATTTATAAAATATTACATACAAAGAAGTATTTTTAGTTTTTAATGTTTTCCTCTTTTGTGAGAGTAAATGAACTTCACAACGCCAAGTGTTTCACCATTGATAAATCTCAAAAACTTAATGTTGAGAGGAAAAAGCAAGTTGCAGAATTAAGTATAGTGTGATCCAATCTAAATAAAGTTTGAGAACATGCAACACAATAGCACATATTTTTGACTAATGAATATATGTGTAGTAGTGGTATGATATCATACTTAGGAATGGGGGGCACCGAGTTTATGGTAATAATCACCTCTTAAAAGGGTGGGCTATAAATGGGTTCGGGGATGGGTTCAGAGGCTTCAGTTATGTCTATAACGTTCTGGGCTTTTAAAATATTAAGATTTGGTAAAGCAGAGTGGGAAGTAAATTTGTTTATTATAAATACTCTTCATATTTTTCTGTATGTTTGAAATATTTCGTAATCTAACGGAAGGTCTATTTTTCTAATGTTAATAAAACTTAACATCAGCTCCTAAAATTTCTAAGATGTTGCAGCACAAGCTTACACAAAAAGAAACCTGAGATATTATATCATTCTATGTCTAGCCAGATGTTTTTATTTGCATGTTTGATTCCCCTGTTGAAGGCACTGAATCCCTACAGGAAGTAGTATGAAGTATTTTGCTTTGTAGCTGAAGGATTTGTAAGATGAAAGGTTCTTAAACATGAAATTAGATCTGTGTAAGCTCAAGATTTAAATTGTTGTTTGAAAAATTGTTTGATCTACCCCCTCCAGGGGAAAAAAAACATAATGGTAGCTTAGATGCATATGACAATACATAATTTTTTTTTTCTTGGTATCTAGGTCACCATGGCAACTGGACTGAAATTGATGAGAGCAATTAGAGTTTTTGAATTTGGTGGACCAGAAGTGCTGAAACTCCAGTCGGATGTGGCAGTACCAACTCCAAAAGACCACCAGGTAGATATAATGACATAAAAACAGGCAATAATTACACTGAGTGTGAGTCTCCAGCACATCAGGTTAATGTCCAAAAGAAGCAGACTCACAATAATTTGTAAAAGACATTGAATTAGGACAGAGTTTATACTGATGATATATATGAGGTCTGACAAAGAGAACGTAATTGTAACAGTTAGTGAGGTAGATCTATGAAAAGGAAAAATATCCTGTTACAAGAAAATTGTTGAAATTGGGAATCATCTATGCAGTGCAGTAATTGATTTTTTCTGGATAAAATCATAAGTATTGTTGAACAAGTTATTCTATTACAAACTTCCATGATTTCTTTTTTGTGCACAGTAGGAAAATAATTTTCTTCTGCATACATGCTTTTCCATATATGATTTAAGGGAATTTAAATGAAGAGTTTAATCATTTCCTGTGACTTTAACGATATACTTTCTCATTAAAAATTATGTATTTTTATTACTGCACCTTCCGTAACTTTTAAGTCTCATTTCCTTAACGAAACTTGAACCTTATGAGTTTTTACAGTTTGGCCATAACCTAGCTTTAGAGTTTCTTTTCTTATTGCTCCTTCTCAGTAGACTGTGCTATAACAAGCAGCATTGTCTGGTTTCCCCAGAGGATTGTCTGGTCTCCCCAGGAGGCCCTTTCATTCCTTCTGTCTTTGCACATACTATTCCTTTTACCTGAATTGTCCTTTTTCTCCCATTCTGAAAGAATGTCTACTCTTCTTTTAAGGCCTAGCTCAAATACTGCTTTCCTTGGAAGGCCTTCTCTTACTCTTGCACCAGAAGTAATCGTTAGGTATTAATTAAGGTAAAATTAGCTTCTGTGGTAGATGTAACCTCAAAATCTCAATGGTTCAACAATAGAAAATTGTTTCTCATTCACTGCATTGCAGAATTCTAAAACGTTTGCGGGTGACTCTTGAAGAATGATTTAGGGACCCAGGCTTCCTCCATCACTGTGGCTCTGTCACCCTCAATGCCTGTCTTCTGAGGTCCCTTCTAATGAAGGGGTGAAGGCACAGTGAGGATTGCCTAGAAGGTCTTTATGGGCCAGCCCTGAGAGTAGTTCTCATCATTTTGTGCCCAAACTCAATCATTTGGCTGCTCATAACTAAAGGCACCAAGAAATAATATTCTTCCCACATACCCAGGAGGAGGAGGAGATAGGTTTGATGAGCACATAGAGGTTTGTGCCACACGACTTCTTAAATATTTCCACTACTATTTTCCCAAAATGTTTTGCGCACATAAATCATTCTGTCTTATCTTTTTATTTATATGTTGGTTTACAAAACTGTAATGTGAACTTGTTGAAGGCGAGGTTTCCCCCTCCATTTTTATAGCTCCCATAATCTGTATAGTCCTAGCATAATGCTGAATGAATGCCTAGTGTTTTGTTTTAACTAAAATACATTGGCATTGCAGGTTCTAATCAAGGTCCATGCATGTGGTGTAAACCCAGTGGAAACATATATTCGTTCTGGTACTCACAAGATAAAACCACTCTTACCCTATACACCTGGTTCAGATGTAGCTGGGGTAATAGAAGCTGTTGGAGATAATGCATCTACTTTCAAGGTATTACATTTTAAATTATTTCTATTTTGGCGAAATATTTTTCTTAAAATATTTTGACATAGCTTTCAAATGTGTCTGTATATAAATCTTTAAAAGGCCCATTACAGATTAGGAGTTTATTTGTTGTGATGAGCACCAGGTGACGTACAGAAGTGTTGAGTCACTATATTGTGCACCTGAAACTAATATTGCACTGTATGGTAACTATACTGGAATTTAAATAAAAACTTAAAAAAATAAATAAAAGCCCCCATTACACAAGTTCTGCCACTTGGGGGACTCCTCTATTCAAAAAAGAGATTACCTCTTGTCTAGGTGTCTTCCTTGTTTGCATTTTTGGGGACAAGTGCTGGGTAAATTCTGTATCTTCACTTCCCCTCATAGAATTCAACTGATCCTTTTGATGTAGCAGAAACATGTAAGAAAGAAAATAAGCAAGGAAATTATACTATTTCCTAACTCTCGATAAAAACAAGCCTAGATGATGTTTCATTCCTTTTATAAATTCAGTTTCATAGGATAAAGGGAAAGCTAATTCTTTTGAATAATGAGTAAAAGATGAAAAAAATGCAAGGTCAACTATACATTTTTAGAGCTCTGACTCAGATCAAGGTGACTGAGTCAATGAAAATGTTATGATCAGGGCTTTTGTTATTTATATGCCAAAAGAAATATAAAACACAGATAGTATATTCATGTCCCAGCACCTTTTCTCATAATTCCCTGACCTGCTCAACTTTGGCAGCACATTTACCAAAATTGGACTGAGACAGAGAAGATTAACGTGGCCTCTGCACAGGAAGACCGTCAGATTCCTACAGCTTTGTACTCCTCGGCCTGTGGCAGTCTGGCTTCTGCCCCCATCGCTCCACTGAAACGATTCCTGCTAATGTCACTAATGGCCTCTCTATTGCTGGAGTTAATGGGGCCTTTTATGTCATTATCTCTCTTGACTTCTCAGTGACATTTGACACTCTCAGCCACTTACTTTTTCTTAATTTTTTTTTTTTCTTCAGCTTCTATGACATCATTTTCTCCTGTCCTCTTCCCCACTTCCTCCTGGACATTGTTTTTCAAGCTTGTTTTTCTCTGGATAATCCTCAAATCTTAGTGCTGCCCAGTGCTCTTGGCCCCTTACTTAGACCTCTGCTTTTTGTATCCTGTACCTTCTTCACAAAGATCTCATGCACCCCCATGGTGTCCATTATCACATATGATATCTGTAGCTTAGAATTGTCTATGAAGCTGTGGACCTGTGCTGTCTAATAAGGTAGCCACATGTGGCTATTTAAAATTCTTATTAAAAATTAAAATAAAAAAGTCAATTCCTCAGTCACAGTAGCAACATTTCAAATGCTGAATAGCCCCCTGTTTCTAGTGGCTACCCTACTGGACAGTGCTGATATAGAACATTTACATCATCACAGGAAGTTGTGTTGGAGAGTATGAGACCCATATAGTCAACCCTTGGTAACCTCTTACTCAGTATGTCTAAAACTGAGCTTATCTTTTGTCACGTTAGATCTGCTCCTCTCTTGTGTGACTGTCTTGGTGACTTCTGTGCTTTGAGGCATATCTCTTCACTCCCCCCACTCAGCTCTCCCTTACTAGAACTGTTTTCTCTCTTTCCATTCCCACTGCCTATAGTTCAGGTTATTCTACCTAGTCCCTTACCTGGATATCTGTAATGGGTATTTAACACCTGCCCTCCCTCCTCCTCCAGTCAATTGTTGCTATATAAAGGGTGTTTTCTAAAATGTAATCAATTGTTTTACAGTTAATTCTTAACATTAGTTCCTTGCAGATTTCAGAGTATTGCTGAGACTGCTTATGTTGTTAGAGAAGATATTTCATGCTCCTTTCTACTATCCTTCCATTCTTACCTCTATTCCTTCTCACCTGGTAGTTTATTTTTTAGTAAAGCTGCTCTTCCCTGCATACCCCACGCTTGCTCTTCTCTATCTTTTTTCATATTGGTTCTGCCACTTGGCAGAATAAAACTGAAACTTATAAGCATAGGTGGAAGAGATTTTACCCTCCAGCTTTAATTCCCTTTCATTTTATCCCTGAAACTATTACATTCTGTATGTTAGACTACTTACTCATTGGGCACAAATGCCAGCGATTTCTCAACACTTACTCCTGCCACTGTTCCTTTACTTACTTTGTTTCCCTCACTCATAATGACTCTTCTCAGCTTTAGTTTTTAAAATCTTGTCGTATTCTTCAAGACTTACCTTAAATATTAGCTTCCCAATGTAGCTGTTTTTTACTCCTTCTACTTAGAAATAATTTCTTTCTTTTCCTGCTACCCAGCTTTGATGGCGCATCATCTTTGTCTCACATTGTAGTTACTCTTACCCTTTTCTTTTCTGTCATCCTAGAGTTTAAGATGCTTTTAGTGGGGGAGGGTGTTTTGTTATTAATATCCATCACAAAAAAAAAAAATATCCATCACAGAACTCAAAAAGTACTGCTTTCATAGTGAATTCCTAGAAAATATTTGAATTATATTATAAGGAGTACAACCTCTTTTTAAAGCTGTAAAAAAATGGTACTGATCTTAGTACAGTCATATTTGACCATTTGCAAGTGACACTGTTAAGTAGTGAGGCTTGTCTTTGACTCCTGGATGCCTTGTGAGGCTTTTTTGTTTCTATCGCACTGCATAGTGCTGTTACTTTTTCAGATCTCTTTTTTATAGCACAAATTTAAGTATACTGAGAGTTATTGCCTTAAAGTTGTGCTTCTTCCAAGGAATATTTACATTTTTTTTTTCAAGAAAGAAGAGTTAGGGCAGGTGTTTACAGTGATGGGCTAATTTCCGTAGCATGCAGGTCATGTTGGACAGGCTTGAATGCTTGCATAGTGCCATACCTGACCCTCAACTATGCATCCACTGTTCAGTAGCAAGGACCCAGCAGAGTTTACTGAAAGTCTACTGTGTTTCTGGTGCTGTAACAAGGGAAGAAGCCTGTTTTGGCTCATTTTACTATCAGGATCCACAGATAGTTTCTTGCGCTTGGTGTATGCATGAAAAATGAGGGGGAACATGTAGAAAGGATTTAGAACAGGTATTTAGTGTGTGGAAGAAACCTTACGTTTTGTTTTCTCCCTAGTATACCAGAGGGAAAAAAATGGTTTTATTAACTGCCATTTACTAACTGCTTAATCTGAGCAAATTATTGAACTTCTTTGTCCCTCCATTTCCTCATTTGTATAGTGGAATTAATCTAAAGTGGTGATAAGAAAAGTACTTACCTCATAGGCTCTTGAGAAGATCAAATTAGACAGTACTCATTAAGCACCTAATACAGTGTCTTGCACATTAAGATCTCAAAGAAGATTAGTTGTCTTCATGTTATACCATTCTGGAGGTTCTCTTTCCTCTTATTTTTTCTATTTCCTTTAATTTTTCTTCTTCTTTGTTTCTGCGAATAAAACCTTTAAAAATGTTCAGGGGTACCTGGGTGGTTCAGTAGGTTGAGCATCCGACTCTTGATTTGGCTCAGGTCAAGATCCCAGGATTGTGGGTTCAAGCCCCACATTGGGCTCTGTGCTGAGCACGGAGCCCGCTTGGGATTCTCTCCCTCCCTACCTCCCTCTACGCCTCTCCCCAGCTCGTGCTTTTTCTCTCTCTAAAAAAAAAAAAAAAATTTTTTTAACCTTCAGCATTTTGAAGCTATTTTTACAAGACCCTAAGATGTAGAAAGCAATACATAAATACTTATTTGTTGTTATAATGGTTACATTATGAAGGATTATACCCATTTTGACATAATTTTTAATCCCTGGTGCATTTATTAATCTCTTGCTTTCCCCAGAAAGGTGACAGAGTTTTCACTACCAGCACCATCTCTGGGGGCTATGCCGAGTATGCTCTTGCAGCAGATCACACTGTTTACCCACTGCCAGAAAAACTGGACTTTAAACAAGGAGCTGCCATCGGTATCCCATATTTTACTGCTTATCGAGCTCTGCTCCACAGGTAATAACATACACTGTCGCTTATACTGCCAGTATTGCCTTCCTTCCTGCCATGCGTCCATGTATCCGTCTCTCATATTTGGTTACCATTAAGTATTTATGGAGTGGAAACTATGCTAATTTGGGAGATTATTCTAATCACTGGGGATATAAAGAAGAGCAAAACACTGTCTTTATCTTTAAGATGCATCTGACAGTCTAGTAAGAGAGATAGACATAAGAGTAATATTATTGATGTATAATATGGAGGAAGTACAGTGGTGTAGATGTGCATAGGGATTTGTGGGATCACAAGGGATGTAACAGTGGTGATGAGATAGGGCTTCCTGCCAAGACGTAAGGCTTGGATTATTTTAAAGTCCTGGTTCAAAAATCTTTGTTATCTAGCCCTAGAAACTAATTGCTGCAATTTAAAAGTATAGTACCCTAGACCCACTGGTCCGCTTCCATGGTTGGGATCTAAGAATCTCCCTATATTTTTTTTTAATTTTTGCAAATGTTTATTTATTTATTTTGAGAGAGAGAGTGTGTGTGTGTGAGCAGGGGAGGGGCAGAGGGCAAGGGAGAGAGAGAGAATTCCAAGCAGGCTCTGCACTGTCAGCATGGAGCCCATGTGGGCCTTGAACTCCCCAACCATGAGATCATGACCGGAGCCGAAATCAAGAGTCGGATGCTGAACCGACTGAGCTACATAGCTGTCCTTAACACACACACACACACACACACACACACACACACACAGATTTTATTTTTAAGTAATTTCTACACTCAGTGTGGGGCTTGAACTCACAACCCCGAGATCAAGAGTCACATGCTCCACTGACTGAGCCAGCCAAGCATCCCTCTGAGAATCTGTATTTTCATCAAATTCCCTATGTATTTGAAAAAAAATCAGAAGGGGTTATCCTGGGGAAGGATAGTTCGGAGCAGGGAGGGAATTCTAGACCATAGGAATAGCCTAGCATCGGGGGGAAATCTTGATATTTAAGGAGAGCTATAGCAGTTTGGTTTTGTTGAATAGAAGATATCAAGGCAAAGAGTGGCATAGAATTAGGCTAGAATATAGTCATTTCTCAATAAATGTTAGCTATCACATGGAATAGATTTCATATTATGAAAAGCAAGATGATAGAGCTCACATATTGGTTCTGTAAGGGATTGGGGATCATGAAATGTTTCATTCAGGAGAGATACTGTCATATGAGTATTTTATTAAGATCACCTGTCAGCTGTGTGAAAGGTGACAGGATTTGGTGACAGGAATGGAGAAAGAGATAGGGGGGGTATTATGTGAATATCTCTTAGGCATAATACTTACGGGCCAGAGTAGAAAAGGTGGAGAGGAAAGGATAACTATTGGAGGGTAAAATCAGGTTTATTTGGTTGAGTGTTTGCATGTGGACAATGAGAGAGAAGAGGAGCTTACGGATACTTCCAGCTCTTTAGCTTGGATAATGTTTAAAGAAAAGGAGGAAAAAGTGTCAAATGGAAGCTGAGTCCAGTTTTGGAGTTGAAACCAAGATAGGCATCGTAATGGAGAAGACCAGCAACCTGTGAGGTGAAAGTCTGAAGCCTGAAGGCTAAACATGTAACTGAGGGACTGTCAGCCTGTGTGTGGGAGCTGATGAGATGAAAGTGACTGAAAGCCTTCAGGGAGTGAAGTGCAGGGGAGTGAGAATAGAACCTTTGAGAATATCAGCATGTAGGAGTATAGTCAGAGGTAGGGACAGAGTCCTAAGAGACCAAAGGGAGTGTATGCCAAGGCCAATACTGTTTTGTCCTACGACCAGCCCTATGACCGTGGTCCAGTTACTTCCTTGCCTGAGCTGTAGTTTACTGATTTGAAATACGTGGATAGTAATGGCACCTACCTCCTAGGGGTGTGGTGAGAACTAAATGAGGTAACACTGGTAAAGTCAGCACAGAGTCTGGCGCAGAGCAAGTACTCCCATCAGTGTTGGCAGTGTTAGTGACAGTAGTTGATGTTGTTACTAAGGAGGGAAGCTAGCCATCAAATGTAGCAGCGAGGTGTTTGGGGAATAAAAAGAACAGGCTTCGCAGTGAGGAGGTGATTGGTGACTTGAATCAGGTCATTTTCAGTAGTGGTGGGACAGAAGCTTGAGTGAGTGGGCTAGAGAAGGAAGCGGAAACTGGTTCCTTGAATGGAGGTAGGGAGGGAGGAGGGAGCAGAAGAATACTCGAGGACAGTGTGGGGACAACAGGATTTTCTAAAGGTTGGGCAAGAGTTGAACATGTTTATAGCTGAGAAAAGATCTAGCAGAGAGGGGGCGATGGAAGGTTTGGAAGAGAGGGTGGAGTGGCAGATGGAACCAGATCCTGCAGAAGGCAAGATGGAAAGGACTTAGGACATATGTAGGGAGATTGGCTTCAGCTATCCGAAGGACAGCTCATCTGCTAAACCTATAAGATGTGAAAATGGCATAATTATGGAAAAGTTTGTGGGTAGGGAGGTGGAGTGTTGAAGGAACTCATATGTGATTGCCTCACTTTTCATAATTAAATATGCAAAGTGATCTTTTGAGAATCAGAACTGAAGTGACACCAAAATGCATGGTCATGTGAGTTTTTTGTTTTTTTTTTAATAGTACTAAGCCATTTGGATAGATTATCAAAGAAGTTAGATTTTAGCATTCATCTAGGCCTGGAGTACTAGTGGCAAAATGGAACAGTGCAAAGGAAATGAGAGCACTGGAGAGGAAGAGAGGGAGGAGTTGGGGTAACCTACCTCAGGGTCCAGCTGTCCAGCAAAGGAAGCGAGGCCAGGAGCAACAAGTGGGCAGAAACTGAATAATTGAGAGATGCCAGTCTCTGGGAAGTGGAAAGAAAGTTTTTGAGAGAATATGGGCTTACAGAATTAGGAGAGGAGGTTGCTGTCATAGCATTGGTTATTAGGGTCTGATATTTCTCAAGTGGAATGGTTGAGGGAAGTTACCAGGTTCAGCCTTGGGAGAGAGTGGCCAAAGGGGAGGAAAATTCAGGGATTGTGATTCAAGGTTTTCTTCCCAGGGAATGTTGAAACTTTTTAGATTAGGGTTGGTTTTGGGTGGGAGAGAAAGTCTGTGTGCCATGTACTAGTCTTCAGTGACTGGGAGGGAATAAGGTACAGCATCATGGAAGGCCAGGCCAAGGCTCCAGCCCCTGCCGTGACCCCCAGGGGGAGATGACTGTATTCGTCAGGGTCCTCCAGAGGAGCAGAAAAACAGAATTTGTGCGTGCTTACGTATGTATATACATACACATATGTGTGTGTATATATATATATATATATATATATATATATATACACATATATATATGTATATATATATGTATATATATTATCTCTCTCTCTCTAATATATATATATATATATTAGAGAGAGATTGAGGCAGGGAGATTGCTCTGTGGAGGCTTGGTGAGTTTAAAGTCTTGAGAGGGTAAACTGGCAAGCTGGAGACCCAGCAAAGAGTTGCAGTTCAAATTCAAAGTCAATCTATGGGCAGAATCCCTTCTTGCTCCAGAAGCCAGTCTTTGTTCTATTAAAGCCTTCAGCTGATTGGAAGAGGCCCTTCACAGAGACATCCAGAATAATGTTTGACCGAATATCTGGCCCCATGGCTCAGGCCAAGTTGACACATAAAATTAACCATCACAGTGACTCTGTGCAAGGGTAGAAGGATCAGAGCAGTGGGCATCCAGAAGAGGGTTAGCCTGCTTTTTCACCACCCCACCCCAAGCCCAGTGGTTTAGGGAGAATGTGCTTTTAGTGTTTGAGGGCTTGTTTGTAAGTTTTTTAAAAACGTTACTGGGAAAAGTATTTCATATCCCACAGTATAACGTTAGTTATTCTTTCTCTTACATTTATTTATGTTTTACTTTTTAAAGTATCAAAGTGTTTTGGTGATAGTTATCTTAAGTTTATCATTTCAGACTCTCCATTTAACTCACTGCCCTCAGTCTCCTTATCTCTAAGCAAGAGTATTGGGAAAAGCTTCATTTACTGCTCACAATTGCTATTTGTCGGCTGTTAGCATAGAGCCTTGAGCAAGACCCAGGGTTATTTTGTTCTTACTGCCAGATGTCTGACCACAATGTCTGTACGGTGTGGCCACCCCTATTGTTCTAGGAAGGAAGAGATCTCCTGAGAGTCAGATCTGGATCATAGAACAGCTGCTGGATTGTGACATTAGCACTTGTCCATCTGGAATAATAAAGCATGTCCTGTCTGTCTCGCTGCCTGTGCCTTATTTTTGGTATAATAGAAAAGTAGTAGTCTGAACCAGAATTAAAAAGAATGTGTCATTTCACCAGAGGATCTAGACATTTTGGGGGTGACATAGAAACCTTTGTGACTGGATTTATCGTACTTCTTACTCTCCTACCATGCCAATTCAGCGTTGCTCTCTGAAATGAAGGCTTAGAGGTTATACAACCTGATGTTCAAAGGCAAATGTTTCCTTAAATAATCTGACTTCTGTGTTTACTTGGACATTACCCCGGGCCACAGAATAACAATTAGTCTATAAAAAGCCTGTTTTGAGACACTTTCTGGGGGAATGAATTCGAGAGACAGGCATGCAGCACAGTGCCAGGCACATAACAGATTCCCAGTAAACGTTTGTTGAATGCATAAATAAATTTAGGGTTGTCTTTTGTTTGTGGCTCTGAAGAGCCATTGTTTGATCCTCTAAAACCTGGAGAAAATTTGGGGCTGTAAAGTAGAATGAGCTTCCTATTTGGGGAAGTGTTAGCTGAACTGAGGGTAGAGTTTTCTTAAGAATGACAAACTCCTGGGTTAATTAGCTTCAAAGTGAGGTGATGATCATGCCTTCTTTTGCAGTGCCCGTGTGAAAGCTGGAGAAAGTGTTCTGGTTCATGGGGCTAGTGGAGGAGTAAGTATTTTGTTTTTTAAGTTTATTTTTAAATGAGATTTTGTTAATGGGTTTCACATTATATTTCTTTTAAGTCATTTTTAAAAGCCAAATTTATAAACATAGTCAATATTTATAGTCAATACATATTCCTTTTTGTAGTAAAGCTTTTTTTGAGTTCTATCTTCTGAAGGTGATTCTTTGTCATTAGTTTAGCATTTCTTGGTTAATAGATTCAACAGACCACCCCATTAAAAATGTGTGTATTAGGTTTTCCACCTGTGTTGGGTGTGGACCAAGATAAACTGGCTTTGTTTTTGCCTTCAAGTAGCCTATGTTATAATAATATTTACTTAGAATTTGAAACAGTTTTTTAAAGTTAATATTAATTCCTTATTCCCTTAGATAAGGAAACTAAGGTTTGTTAAAGCTTTACCTGCATTGCCCCAGACAGCACTGCAAAGCTGCACTGTGAATTCTGAGGCCATTCTATCTTCCTTCTACTGCTCGCCCGCTGCGCTTTGATGGCATTCATGGAAGGCACAGTGTACAGCTGTGTCCTTAACTCCACAACCCGTGGCTTAAAATGCTAATGTGGGGAGATGGGGAGAGGACGGAGAACTTTAAAATAAGCCCTTCAGTGAAATAACCCAACACCGGGCTGTCAGAAGCTTCTTCAAGAAACCGGCTGTCAGTCTGCCTCTGAGGAGCTTAGAGGAAAAGAGCTCTGAGGTTGGAATTTAACAAGAAATCCACATGACCTCTATCCTGCATGTAGAGGCTTTAGAAATTTTGGAGATGAGATTTCACATTTTTAAAATACAGGTCCTGGGGCTCCATAGCTAACCTTGAGGAAGCTGGTTAACCCTTTCAGAGCATTATGTATTCTGCAGAGTAAATCGACACAAGTAACCTATTAAAAATGGCACATTGTACCCAGCATAATGAGTGGCATCCTGAAAATGTGAATTTATGGCTAAAGGTGGCCAGGTGGTACAAACACAGAATTCAGCCCATTGTGTTTCTGTTACTTTAGAGAGATGAAGCACGAGGTACCACACTTAGCTTCCTGTCTACCTCAAATAGATCAATTCTGAAGGATGTCACAGATCAGACTATTTCCTGAAAAGACCAAGAATGTCTTTTGGGGGCTTGAGAAAATATGACAGATATACCTTGTCAAAACTTCCCATTGCATACCTTCACTGAAGAGGCTATTTTTGGGTTAAATTAAATTTCACCCAAAATAACTAAAGGATCTGTCAAACATGCATTTATTTAAATTGCTTTGGCTTTGAGAGAGCTAACCTTGTGCTCTGTATAAAAGAGAGAGGTTTCAGTAGGAAGGGGAGAGAAGAGTTTAAAGAAAATCTTTTTATTCCCTTCACCCTCTTGTAAAAAGCTCAGTCGCTTCACCATGATTTTTTTTTTTTTAAGGCAAAATCCATACTGTTCTCTGAGCTGGCTGAGTTTGTTAAATCCTTGGCTGGCAGGGATAGGCTGGTGGCCTGGTGTGTGAAGCGCTTCTGATCCTCCCTGCCCTACCACAGGGAAATAGTACTGGGTTTTGTTTGCTTCTGTTTGTACTTTCTGTCCTCATTTAATGCAAATTCCTTTGGGATTATGGTGTGTATTTAAAATCGTGTGGAATTTATGAACACGGTTGTTATCCAGATATGTTGGTGGGGAGTGCCCTCTTTTAGTGTCAGCAAAGTAAATAGAAGAAAAATAGTTGACACATTAACGGTATATCATCTATCAAAGGGGTATTGCTGATACAATTGTTGACAAGAATAAAGTAAACAGTACCTTCAGAACAGCGATTAGGTGCTTCTTTAAAGTAGAATATAAAGAGATATATTTACAGTAAGTTTTTAGTATAGGTGTAGTTTTATTACAGGCCTGTTTTTTTTTTTTTTTTTAATTTAAAGTAGCAAATCAATAGTGCTAACTCCATAGTATAATGTATTTCATGGAATTGAATGTCTCTCTCATCAGACAGTGAGTTTTTTTGTTTGTTTGTTTTGGTTAAATCAAACAAATCCCTGCCAAAACCCAACAGAGTTCAGGCTCATCACTCCCATATGCCATACAATCTTTAAAGTCCATTTCAGGCCTGGGGAGTCTGTGATTCTGTTACAATTTTAATCAGTTTCTATCATCATTTTTCATTTAAACTCTTTACTGTCATGCCTAGTCCATGATTTTACCTTCCTCTTAATCGTTGGTTATCAGCGATGGGTGGTTTGGCATCATCTCTTCTCCCCCTCGAACATTTGGCGCAGTGTCTGGGGACATTTCGGTTGTCACTGGATGGAGGGCTTCTGGCCTCTAATGGGTACATGCTACTCTACACATCCTTCATCATATAGGATCGCACCCACATCATAGAACTGTCCAGCCCTGAATGTCAATAGTGCTAAGTTTGAGAAGCCCTGCTCTAAATGTACGTGACACTTACTTGTGCCATTCATAGATCATGTAACCAAACATAGATTTCCTAGCACTGTAATTTAAATAATTACTTTTATCCATATTCCTAATATACGTTTATTTCTCCTTTATCCTAAGCACATTTATGTAATGATCTAGTTACTTCGTGCAATCTGTGGCTCTAAATACCATCTCTAAACTGATGAATCTCAAATTTATATTTCCAGCTCCATATGCTTATTCAGCTGATTACTACACATTTTCACTTAGGTGAGCAAATACAGCTCAGCTTGCTCAGAGTCAGTCTTGATACTCTTACAAACTTGATTCTCTGTACTCTTCCCCAGCCCTATTAATCTACCCAGTTAACCCTGCCAGAGACCCAGGAGACAGCCTTGACTTTTCTCTGTGCCTCACTTCTCGGATGCAGTCCATGAGGAAGGTCCATCTTACTCCTATCGCCACTCCCCTCTTTCTGTCTCCCATATAAAATGTTCTATTTATTTATTTATTTATTTATTTATTTATTTATTTATTTATTTATTTTGAGAGAGAAAGAGAGAGAGCACATGGGAGGGGCAGAGAGAAAGGGAGAGAGAGAGAACCCCAGCAGGCTCAGCACTGTCAGTACGGAGCCCAATGTGGGGCTCGAACTCAACAAACTGTTAGATCATGACCAGAACCGAAATCAAGTGTTGGTCGGTCATTTAACCGACTGAGCCACCCAGGTGCACCTGTCTGATAGCTCTGAGTTATCTCTTAAATATAATCCAGAGCCTTTACCTGCAAGGCCCTGTGTGCCCCTCTAGCCACATCTTGCTCTGTCTCCCATGTGCCCTGCCTTTAAGCCGCATGGACCCTCTTTCTGTCCTTACTGCCCCAGGCTCATTCCCACATCACAAGGTGAGCTACAGCCATTCTGCCCACAGCATTCTCCACCAGACTTTCCAGATCTGCACATGGCTCGTGCCTCACTTCACTCAGGTCTCATCTCTTCAGAGTGGCCTTTGGTGATGATCTAACTAACCCTTCTCTCTATCTCCTTGTAACACAATAGGCTGGGGTTTTTTTCATAGCACGTTTTTATTTTCTGAATTTAATTTATTCATTTATTTGTTTGTGTTTATTATTTTTCCTCTTTCTTAGAACATGTTTGTTACACGAAGTACCATGTCTAGCACATAGTAAACATTTAACGGTCATCATATGGATGAATAAGTTAATTTGCTCATACGCCTGTCTCTTCCACTTAAATGGTGTAACATTTGTTGTGTAATACTTTAAATGTACAGTGAAAGTATGATCCAGTGAGCATATTTTGAATAGCTTTAAACTCTGTACCTTCTGTGCAAAGCAGATGCTAAGTACACGTTTTGATACAGTGGTTAAAGGCTCAAGCTCTACAGACTGATTTGGTCCAGCTCTGTGACTTGGTCCTGTTCCCATCTCTGTGACCTGGGCAAGTCACTTACATTATATAAGTTTCAGTTTTCTCATCTACAGAACATGGACACTAGTCATATCTACTTCATGTCTACTTACATACATGTAGACATTTCATGTCTACTACATACATCATGTCTACTTAGACTTACTGTGAGGATAAAATAAAGCAATGCATAGAAAGTATTTTTTGTGGTACCTGGCACATTATAAATGCTCAATAAAAGTTAGCTGTTGTTCTTATTTCTTCATTTAGACTCGAAATTCCTTAAGGATAGGGTAGGACCTAGAGGAACCTTCTATTATATATATTTAAGAAATATTTGCAGGGATGCAAAGAATCTAAAAGTATGCATTTATATTTTGTTTTTCAGGTTGGACTGGCAGTATGCCAGATTGCTAGAGCTTATGGTTTAAAGGTTCTGGGCACAGCTGGTACCGGGGAAGGACAAAACATCGTTTTGCAAAATGGAGCCCATGAAGTGTTTAACCACAGAGAACATAATTATATTGATAAAATTAAGGTAAAATTAGTCCACAGTTTTATGAAAGTAAATTTTGTTTCTTGAGAGACTTACTTTTTTGTAACCTTTTTTAAGCAACCACTCTCTTAAAGCTGTTTGTTTTCTTTTTTTATGCCTATGTGTGTTTTAAAGTTTTAATTAAAAAAGCAGAGATGTCTAATTTTCAGACTTCACTCTCATTTGACTTGTTTATGTTTATCAAATAAAATATAGCCTTTCCAGAGTCTTAGTTATAAAACTTGGTACTCTTTAATGCAGTCACATTTTGAGTAAAGTCATAGCTTTGTATTTAGAGCTGAGAGGTGTTCTTTTAAATTTTTTTTTGATATTTGTATATATCATATATTGTGAAATGATTACCACACTGAGTCTCATTAACATCCATCACCATACATAGTTACAAATTTTTTTTCTTCTGATAAGAACTTTTAAGATACACTCTCAGCAACTTTCAAATCTGTGATACAGTATTATTAACTATAGTTGTCATGCTGTACGTTATATCCCTATGACTTATTTTTTTTTAATGACTGGAAGTTTGTACCTTTTGATCACATTCACCCATTTCACCCAGTTCCCACCCCCACCTCTGGCAACCATGAGGTTTTCTTAATTTCTTAATATAATTTCTATTGGTTTAAATTTTCCAGAGAAGGTGAGGTAGTTACAGATTACAAATTGAATCTGTCTAAGCTAGGGGACAAAGTTTACTTGTCAGTTGTATGCCATGGAAGAATAATCACTACCACAACCAGAGTTGTGAGGTAGGCTTTAGTTACTCGTTGCATATATTTCATTGCTAGAGCAGAATTCAACCTAATCCTCAGACTACTTGCTCATGTTGAGAAAGAATTAGAATTTTCCAGGTACTGATTACTATGTAACCTAGGTCATTACAAATTGAGGAAAATATGAGTGAGGGTTTGTGTATTACAACTACATCATCTTGCCAAAAAAAAAAAAAAAAAAAAAAAAAAAAAAAAAAAAAAAAAAGCTGTGTAAAGGCACTCTTCTGTTATATATCTAGAAAACCTAAAATTAATTGAATATTCATGCCTGATACTATTATCTAAGAATATTTATAAAGATGAAAAATGCTCAGTTATTTTAAGAATATGTTTTTGTTTTGCAGAAATCTGACCTTAAGACCTTGAGGTCTTATGGCTTCTATGTCTTCTACTGGCTCCTTCTGCTTAAGTCTCTCTCATTCTCCAGACCATTCCCTTAACCCTTTATCAAACCCTCCACACCCTCTACCACCACACTTGAGAAAGTAGTGAGGACATCTTTTACTTCCTTAACCTCCCGTCACCTTCCCCCGCATGTTGCTTCCACCCCAGCTACTTATACCTCTTGTCAGAGGTCACTGGTGGGCTCCTAATTACCCATCTGCTGCTTTTGGCTTAGGCCTCAAACTGCTTGATTTTTTGGGGGTTTTTTTTTTGGCAGCAGCTACCCCTGACCACATCTCCTGAAAGCTGGTTCTTGTCTTACTTGCCTGACTTCATTTCCAGCCCCCTTCCTCCTCATATTACTTAAATGTTGTTGCTCCTTAGACTTTCCCCTTGGTCTGCCATCCTCCCTGGTGCTAGACCTTCCTCCTGACCAATCTCATCTCCCCTGGTCAGTTAGTGCCTGCATCCTGCTGGTATCCAGCACTGTCTCTGGCGTGAGTTCCCTGCCTTTGTGTCATCGGCCTCCTAGATGTCTCCACTCATCTGCTCCCCCCAGACAGAGTCACAAGTTTTATTTTATATTTCTATCTTTTAATTATCGTTCTCCTTCCTACCCATCAGGCCGATCACCTCCCTCTATCAGTTTCATCTCTGACATGCCTTTCAAATATATCTTCTTTGTTCTGTTCTCCATTGTGACTTAGTTTAGTCTTCATCTTCTTCAGCTTTGTCTTTTGTTTATAACTGACTTACTATCGCCTTCTATCTTCACTGTCTCCAGAGTTATTTGTTCTCCTAAAAAAAAAAATATGTGTATATATATATATGTGTATGTGTGTGTATGTATCTCCATGAGGATAGGAATTTTTGTCTCTCTTGTTACCTGCTGCAGCTCAGTATCCTAAAACAGGGTCTGACACAAAACTTAATTAATACCTGTCCCCCAAAAGTCTGGATCCTGTAACGTGGCATCAATGTGTGTTACCAGTCCATAGCAACTTATAGTCTCTACCTCTCTCCCTTTCCCCCCCCCACCCCCCCACGTTCCCAAACACATGCCTCAGCTCTGCTTGGCTACTTTCTGATCCTGACCTGGACTCTCAATCCATAGCTCTTTGCTTTTCTGTTTCTTCTGTCTGGAGGGACTATGCCTCATGTGTGTACCGCTGGCTCTTCTTCCTCCCTTTTTACTTACAGGACTCCTGTTCATTCCTCAGGGCCCAGGTCCTCACCTCTGTGGAACTTTCTGTGATCATTACAGGTGATCAGGGTTGTAACTCTGTTTTTCTCCATAACCTGTGGTTTATTTCTGCTCACGCAGCACTTGGCCCATTCCATCACAGCTGTGTCAGTGGTATTTTCCATCTTTCTCCCTAGCTGTGTTTTGAGTTCTCTGTGTCCATCTTTGAATTCCCAGTACTTAACAATATCTGACACAGGTATTCATTTTTTTTTTTTTGTTAGAATAAAATGAATATAAGGTGTATATGTATAACTTACTTAAGAGACAGTTTGGGATGGCTGAGATCTCTGAAAAAACCCAAAAGAAAAGAAGTAGTAGCCAAGCTGATTGTAAACCACTTGGGACAAAACTGAATGCACACACAGAAAAAAATCTGCAACGCCAGACAGCCAGTGATTTTCTTTTGTTTTTTGTTTTTTTTTTTTTAAAGTGAAAACCTTTTTGGGATTTACGCTTTGTTTTTTTTTTTTTCTCTGTGAAAATACATTTTGAAGACAGAAAATTTTCAACTATTTATAAAATAAAAAGTATTTTATAGTCGAGTCGAAGCACGTGAAATTTATTTAGTATAAATCTTTATCACTTTAGATGTTGTGACTAGTACCTTGGAATTACATCCTCAGTATATAATTAGATCATTAACATTTGTGTTATAGTCTTAAAAGTGTAGTATTTATGTCTTTTGAAACACATTTCTGCAATATATAGGACTATGATAACTATTTTACAGGGTCTTTTTTTTACTTGTTTTCTTATCTCACTCTGGGTTCTTTTTTATTACACAGAAATCTGTTGGTGAAAAAGGAATTGATGTGATCATTGAAATGTTAGCTAATGTAAATCTTAATAATGATTTGAATCTTCTGTCACGTGGAGGACGAGTAATAGTAAGTATTTTGGTTTCTTTTTACCACTTTGAAGTTTTACCATGATTTAATACTATTTTACAGTAATCTTTAACTATAGACGTGTTATTCTTCATAATAGGTTGTTGGCAGCAGAGGTCCTATTGAAATAAACCCACGGGACACCATGACAAAGGAATCTAGTATAATTGGGGTTGCTCTCTACTCATCAACTAAGGTAGGAAAAGAAGTGATTCTGATCTTGGTAACTTAAACACAGACAATTTGCCTAGTCAGACAGACTGAAAGTTTAAGCAGATGTTTAACTTAGTTATCTGACTACATGAGTATGTTAAGTATTAGTCACTATAAGATAACCAGGGTGACAATGTGATTTATTTTCCAAGTCAAGACACTTTTGAGAGAGAAAAGACATACTATTAGTAATTACTTTAGGACAGTAGGTATTTTGTGAACTGACACTGTCTCAGACAAATTGGGCTTATGGTTATTCTATATGGAACTACTTTTTCTGTAGTTCTGGACAAGTTGACAAAAGCCACATATTTGTAAGAAACCGTTTATGTTCTAACTCTCAGAATCTGAAATTTTCTAGTGCTTCTGGAACTTAGGTCGTATGTTCTTCTACAGACATACCTTTTTCTTTCACTTAGGAGGAATTTAGGCAATATGCAGCGGCCCTTCAAGCTGGAATGGAAATTGGTTGGCTGAAACCTGTAATAGGTTCTCAGTATTCATTGGAGAAGGTGGCCCAGGCTCATGAAAATATCATCCATAGCAGTGGGGCTACTGGGAAAATGATTCTTCTCTTAGAATGATTAAGTCTTTCATGTATTTCTTGTGCAATTCGAAGTTTCCTGCCCCAGTTTTACTTATACTACTTTTGCTCTAATAGTGAGTTTCTTATATTGAAAAACAAGATTTAGCTTTAGAGATCTGGAATAAATTGGAGTACAATTTATTTTATAGTTCACAATATGCTTTATGCCTCCCACCAAGCTCCAATCAAGGAGTCATCATAGTAGGAAGTAGAATGTTAGTAGCCATTTGGCATTGGGTACATTACAGAAATTCCTAGTACTTGATCATTAATTCCATACCTTGGACTAAAGCAAGCTAATTCAAAGTAAGACTGTGTGATTTCCAAGCCTATTTGTGCTTGTAAAGGATCTTCAGTATATGTTCAGCCCAGAACTCTATTGGACTCTGAAGATTTTCTAGACTAAACAAGACCCCTTTTCCAAACTAATCTCATTGGCAAGATAAACAATATCCACAGAAATTTGTTTTTTAAAAAATAGTTTTCCAATATTTCCCCAAATATTAGAACATTCACTGTGTTAATGGTTGATTACTACTTATCCATATATTCTGTGAAGATAGCAGCCTTATCTTTGTTATAATGTGATAGTAGGTCCGTAGTCTCTCCAGATAGATACTTCTTGATGATTTGATTTTCAAAGTAAATTTAGAATTATCTGTGTGATGGGAGTCATATATTTTTCTTTAAATTACTAAACAAATTTGACCTATTAAGAGTGGGCGGCTTTTGTTTTCATAGCATGGTAACTTGCAGTGAATTCTGTAGAAAAATAAAAACTGTTTATCTATTTCATCTTTATATAATACTTGCCTTACATCACATCTCTTACATAGTTCCTAATGATTAATTCCTAACAGTGTTCTGTGTTGGAAGTCTTTACCTATACTAAATAAATGCCATCAATGTTATGTGCAAGGAAATGAGGTTTGATTGTTATTTTTGTCCTGTTTTTCTTTATATGAGCACAGCCTCCTATATATGTACAAACACACATGCGTATGTATAAAGAGATTTAAGGAATTTTCTCATGCAGCTATGGGGACTGATAAGTCTAAATCTATAGGGTAGGCCAATAGAGTTTCTATATTGCTGAATTCTTTCTCTGGGAAACCTCAGTTTTTGTTCTTAAGACTTTTGACCGATTGAGTGCAGCCCGTCTGCGTTATGAGGATAATCTACCTAGAGTCATGTGGTGACTTTTTGTAAGCACATAAATAAAACATGGTGACATTACATTGATACGTAAAACCAATCATCACAAGGGAGTGACATAAGAACACAGATGAAGGGAACTTAATGTAGCATGAGATTTCCAGTTACACATTTAATATTTTTGATGCACTTGTCAGCTGCCTCTATCCAGAGTAGCTTTGGCCATAGAAGTACAAAACTTGGGTGCTTCTAAAAGGGGGGGGGGGAGGAGTAGCATTTCATTTTTTTTCTTAATTTTTTAATGTTTAGTTTTTGAGAGACAGAGTGTGAGCAGGGTAAGAGCAGAGAGAAAAAAAGGGAGACACAGAATCCGAAGCAGGCACCAGGCTCCGAGCTGTCAGCACAGAGCTTGACACGGAGCTTGAACCCACAGACCGTGAGATAATGACTTGAGCCAAAGTCAGATGTTTAACTGACTGAGCTACCCAGGTGCCCCAAGAGGTAGCATTTTATAATGTCCTTAGCTCACCTTTACTCAGGCAAGAAATTCTACGTGCCAAGGGGCTTCCACAATTCACGGTGTAAAGAGCTTTTTTTTCTGTGCAAGATAACACTAAAGAATAGCAAAACCTATCAGGTCGCTTTGACCTGGCTCTCTCTGCCTCCTCAACCACATCTCATAGATGGGAAAACACCTCAGATGAATCCTTAATTCTTTTTCCAACACTACCATTTTTTAGCATGGTGATTTTTTAAAAATATGTCATTTGAAAATTGTCACAGGACAGTTTCACTATAGGGCTTTAGGAATAGCTCATATTTGGGGAACTTCCTATATCGAAGAAGAGAGCCCAGAAATGTTATATCATAAAAAGTGATCTAGATTCACTTTGGTGAGTGAGTCGGACCGTTAGGTGTTGATGAAGACAGTCTATGTATACTCTTTAAGAGTGAGTCTAGAGGCACCTGGATGGCTCAGTTGGTTAAGCTTCTGACTCTTGATTTCGGGTCAGGTCATGATCTCAAGGTCATAAGATTGAGCCCACGCCTGCTTAAGATTCTCTCTGCCCCTCCCCCGCTCACGCACCCACACTCTCCCTTTCTCTCAAAAAAAAAAGTGAACCTAAATCAAATCACAAACCTGCTGTGTGATACAGATGCTTGTTAAACATGTTAAACATGCCAGAGGTTGGTAATCCCTGGTTATCCTTTCCCAGCTTCATGCAAAAATTCGCACAAAGATTATAACAGTACTAGAAACTAAAGAAGAAACCCTGCGCCAGAATCCACTGGGAATTTATAGTAACTCCAGTGTCCATCATTTGATTCATTGACCCAAATTAGCTGGAGAGAAGTTAGTAAAAAGCTCCAACTCAGTCACTGCCTCAAACTCAGGGCACAGGAGCTACACTACCTAGAAAATCAAGTCCCTGCTGCCCAGACATCATCTGAGCTAGCTAGAATTGAGATCTATGCCCACCCCCTCAGTAGTCCTCTGCCCCTTTCTTTCACCTGCATGATAGAAACTACAGATTTCAGTTTGGGGTACACCTGCAGACTCAGGAGTGAGGGGGACTTTGCGCCGCTGAGTGTACAGTCACCACAGAGAAAATCTTGCTAATGGGTGGAGGGTGGAGGATCCCTAGATTGTAACAAATGCTGGAAGGTGTATAACCCTTGCACAGAGAACATTTGTCTGACTTGAGCAATGGCAAATTATCTAAGAATTGGAACATAAGATGCTCCTGCATTAGTGCAGCAGGCAGTGGAATTGACTCAAGGTATTTTTGAGGCCACCTCATTCCAGGTATAGATCTGAAAGGAACTGAACTCCCCTATGAACAGACGCAAGGGCATGTGAAACCAACTGTCCGGTAGTGTTGTTAAAAGCATGGGTTGTGGAGGCAGATGACCTGGCTTTAAATCCTGGCTTTCCTACTGACCAGCTGTAGAGTCCTGGGCAAATTAACTAGTCATTCAGTTTCAGTTTCCTCACACATAACACAGGAGTAATATCTACCTTAGCGTTTGTAGAAAGTTAACAAGTTCAAGTCTGTGAAGTACTCAGTGCTCTGTCTTGCATAAAGAAGTGTTTAAACAAATAGTCTTTCATTTTTATTAGGCATAAAAAAGGAGTAAGTTGAAATAGAGGAGGAATGAAAGGGAAGCATCCTGAAATATGAAAAAATAAAATAAAAGCAAACCCCCAAAGCAAATTCCCATACAAGGAATAAATCAGCATAACTGACGCTACTGAAAACTTCAATGGTCATATGGGTAAATTTGATCACTCTAAAAATGTGGAGAAAGAGATGAGAAAAAAAAAAGATATAGCAAACAAAAGAAAGAAAAATACGAGTTTTGAATTATAGTGTGCCACTCCAAAGAAAACAGAAAGATCAAAATAATATTTTCCTAAACTAACCAAAAGAGCTAAGTTTATTTACTGATAGTTTTTATTAGATCTATGCAAAATTAATAACAACTACTAGTTTTTTTTTTTTTAAGTGTTTATTCATTTTTGAAAGACAGACACAGAGCACAAGCAGGGGTGGGGCAGAGAGAGAGTGGGACACAGAATCCGAAGCAGGCTCCAGGCTCTGAGCTGTCAGCACAGAGCCCGACACGGGGCTCGAACTCACGAACCACGAGATCATGACCTGAGCCGAAGTCAGACGCTCAACTGACTGAGCCACCCAGGTGCCCCTAAAAACTACTAGTAATAAAATATATCCTTTAAAAATTTTTTTAATTAAAAAAAAATTTTTTTTAACGTTTATTTATTTTTGAGACAGAGAGAGACAGACCATGAACGGGGGAGGGTCAGAGAGAGGGAGACACAGAATCTGAAACAGGCTCCAGGCTCTGAGCTGTCAGCACAGAGCCCGACGCGGGGCTCGAACTCACGGACCGCGAGAGCATGACCTGAGCCGAAGTCGGCCGGCCGCTTAACCGACTGAGCCACCCAGGCGCCCCTATCCTTTAAAATTTTTAGAAGTCACACATACAGATATTAGAAGGGAGCATACAGAAGAATCATTATTTACAGTTATATTATCCAAACCCTGGAGAATACAAGAGAATAAATGGAAAGAGTTCAAACTTATGAGTTCAAAAAGGTAGCTAATTGCATAATAAATATACAGAAATCGGGGCGCCTGGGTGGCTCAGTCGGTTAAGTGTCTGACTTCAGCTCAGGTCATGATCTCGCAGTCTGTGAGTTCAAGCCCGGTGTCAGGCTCTGTGCTGACAGCTCAGAGCCTGGAGCCTGTTTCAGATTCTGTGTCTCCCTCTCTCTCTGACCCTCCCCCATTCATACTCTGTCTCTCTCTGTCTCAAAAATAAATAAACGTTAAAAAATTTAAAAAATAACAAATCTACAAAAATTAATATAAACCTGATCAATCAGAAAATATATTGGAGAAAGATCTATTAGCAATAGAAATACTACTTAAATTTAAAAAGCAGTGAAATATAAGTGACCAAATTTACAAGAAACATACAGGACCCTTAAAAAGAGAACTACAGAACTCCTGGAGGACATAATGGAATACTTAAAGATTTCTTGATCAGATTCATGTACAGACTTTCCTCTTGTACTCTGGAAATTCAACGTAATTCATACCAAAATCTCAATAGGACTTTTTAGAATCTTGAAAAAATGTTTTCAAAGCTTTTTTGTGGGGAAAAAAAAATAGGCAGATAGCCAGACACATTAAAAAAAAATACTTAAAAAGTTGGAACGAGTCCCAGCAGATATGAAAATTTTTTTTCCCAAGTTAGAGTTACTAAAGTATTAGTCCAAGATCAGTGGAACAAAAGAGAGTCTAGAAATGTTTCTCA